CTTGCTTTTTCCATGATCCAGTGGGTGTTGGCAATTTGATCTCTGGTTCCTCTGCCTTTTCTAAATCCAGCTTTAACATCTGGAAGTTCATGGTTCACATACTGTTGAAGCCTGGTTTGTTGAGCGTTACTTTGCTAGCGTGTGAGATGAGTGCAATTGTGGGGTAGTTTGAACATTCTTTGGCATTAACTTTCTTTGGGATTGGATTGAAAACTGACCTTTTCCAGTCCTGTGGCCACTGGTGAGTTTTCCAAATTTGCTGGCGTATTGAGTGCAGCACTTTCACAGCATCATCTTTTAGGATTTGAAATAGCTCAACTGGAATTCCATCCAGTTATCCATGCTAGACCCTGCAAACTAATTTACCTTGGTAAAAATGATCATATATACATAAATGAGTATCTATTAGTACTGATACCTCCTTCTCACTCCCCATAGAATTTAAGTTCTAGTTTCAGCCACCTTATGGGTTAAATGTTCTTGGTCTAACAAAGAACCATTTAGATGTTGTCAAGCAAGATTTTCTTTATTTGATGGTAACAACAGAGGCTACAGTTTAGTACTTAAACCAGCAGTTAATAGTGACCTTCTATGCAGTCAGAGTAACTAAAAGCAGCTGTGAAAACTGCAAGGAAAACTAGAGACAGGACAAGAGGCAGCGAAAGCCTGACTGCTGCAAACTGGTACACACCCCTGCATTTCAGCAAGAGCAGGGAAGCCAAAGTCACTGACTGCTCTCCTCACTGACTTGAATTGACAGTTTCTTCTCCAACCATCTTGTTACTGGTCACATTCCACTATATCTCGTTAAATATAAAGAATCAGTCTCCATAGTAAAATCATCTTTTCAGAAGAACTATACACAATACATTCAAAATCACTGTTTTTTCTTCATCTTTTTTTCCTTGAACTTGTAGGTGGTTGAGTCTCTTGTGTTTCTTCTTTTTCACCAGATATGGGCTGTTTGAAAACTATTTATCTTTATCATCATCGTTCATTTTAGCCACTTCAGACTTTTGTTTCTCCAAAAATGCTGGTGTACAAATTGGTGTGGGACCCTGGCTATCCACAGCCTTCTCAGAGTGACTGAAGCTGCTTTCTTCTTCTTACATAAAACCTTTCTGGAATTTTGAGGACTAGTGTTTAAAGCATTTTCCTGATTTTTATGTAAGACCTTAACCAATGAAGGGAAACTATAATCAATTCTCTTTTTAGCCAGTCTCCTCCTGAGTAATTTTTCCTCCTTTTTAAACCACTCCTCCATCTATAGCTTTTAAAGAAGCGAACAATTCTGATTGTACCATTTCACTGCTGGATATGATGGCCTTTTAAATGGTATATGCCACTCCCTAAAAAGTTCTTCATGTACCTTTTCAGGTGGTATAAAATGACACTTCAAGAGCTTTTCACCAAAAAGGTAGCTGTTCATTGTTTCAGCAGTTATTTTAGTAACATCTTCAGACTCAAGCTCCACAAAGCCATAGCCTTTGCTATTTCCAGTCTTTTTTACTCCCGGACAGTCTGAATTTTGTAACAGTGCCAAACTGGAAGAAATATACTCGGATTTGGGTTTTGTAAAGTGATGGTGGTAAGCAAACCTGAGCCACCTCCTTTTTAAATTTGTCATCTCCATCAGCAGACGAATGGATGAGGAAGCTGTGGTACATATACACCATGGAATATTACTCAGCCATTAAAAAGAATTCATTTGAATCAGTTCTAATGAGATGGATGAAACTGGAGCCCATTATACAGAGCGAAGTAAGCCAGAAAGATAAAGACCATTACAGTATACTAACACATATATATGGAATTTAGAAAGATGGTAACGATAACCCTATGTGCAAAACAGAAAAAGAGACTCCTATGTATAGAACAGACTTGTGGACTCTGGGAGAAGGCGAGGGTGGGATGTTTCAAGAGAACAGCATTGAAACACGTATATTATCTAGGGTGAAACAGTTCACCAGCCCAGGTTGGGTGCATGAGACAAGTGCTCGGGCCTGGTGCACTGGGAAGACCCAGAGGGATTGGGTGGAGAGGGAGGTGGGAGGGGGGACCGGGATGGGGAATACATGTAAAAAAAAAAGATACACTATGGTTGTGATAAAAAAAAAAAAAAAAAATTTGGCATCCTCCTGCGGGTTTAGGGACAGGAGTGGCTTAGCTGGGTCATCGAAGGCTGCCGTTCCACCAATTTGTACGCAGATGAGAAATCAACACATTCTATATCCCATTGCCATAGTGATTGGCTAGTACAGTGGTGCTCAAAAGCAATTTTTCATTGCTTGGCAATTGGCAACATCTGGAAGCATTTTTGGTTATCACACTGGAGGAGTGCATGCTGCTGGTATCCAGTGGGTGGAGGCCAGGGATGCTGTTAAACATCCTACAGTGCACAGGACAACCTTCCACAGCAAAGAGTGATTTGGCCCTAAATGCCAATGGTACCAACATTGAGGAACCCTAGGCTAGAGGATAAATATGTGACCCAAGTGAAGTCAATACAAAATCAACACCAAGACTAGAAGCTTCTCAACTCTCTGGAATGTACAAGATGGTCTATGATCCTTACACCTATTTTGTTAACACAGAGAAGGAAGATCAGAGGTGGAAATGGGAAGAGAAGCCAGGTTGAGTACCACGTGGAACCTGGGGACGAAACTGATACTCAGGGAAAAATCTGTAGAGATGAGTATCTCAGTCCAAACGAGGTCAAATGTTGACCTCATTTGAGCCACTAGATCAAATCTCCCCTGAAGCAGATCCTTTTCAGCTTATGAACTGATTGGTTTTTTTCATTTTAGCTAGCTGGGTAGACTTTTGTGTTACCTGCAACCAAGAGTGCACCAGTTGAGAGGGGGAACCAATGAACATTAAAGTTCCCCTTTCCTGGAGGAGCCCAGTATAAACACAGCCTTGTCTTGTGCACGGTTATCTGCAAGACATAAAAACCCATTCAAGCTGGAGTACTTATTAAACGATGCACCAGTCTCTCCAAACCCCAAGGAAGCATGAAGTATAGTTGAGATCCGTGCAAAATCAGACTTAGGCACTTAGAAGGCAATTAATAAATACCCACTGATGGCAAAGCTATGGTTTTTGCAGTAGTCATGTATGGATGTGAGAGTTGGACTATAAAGAAGGCTGAGTGCCAAAGAATTCGTGCTTTCAAATTGCGGAGCTGGAGAAGACTTTTGAGAATCCCTCAGACAGCAAGGAGATCAAACAAGTTAATCCTGAAGGAAATCAACACTGAATATTCACTGGAAGGACTGATGCTGAAGTTAAAACTCCAATCCTTTGACCACCTGATTCGAAGAGCTGACTCATTGAAAAAGACCCTGATTCTGGCAAAGATGGAGGACTGGAGGAGAAAGGGGTGACAGAGGATGAGATGGTTGGATGGTCTCACCATTTCAATAGACATGAGTTTGAGCAAACTCCAGGAGATAGTGAAGGACAGGGAAGCCTGGCATGCTGCAGTCCATGGGGTCACAAAGAGTCAGACACGACTTAGCGACTGAACAACGAACAACATTGATGTCAATGGAATATATGTACAATTAACTGGAATTTCCATTTGGAAATGAAGTACTCCCTCCAACATCCTGGAACCATTTGAGTGCTCATCTCTAATTCTCCGATAGAATCTGATCCTCCCAAAGAAGACTGCATAGCTCCAGCCTTCTGCTGTTTTCTTATCAGTACCCAGCACCCCAAATTGCCCATCAATATTTCTCCATCTCTCTTGGCCTTATTAGCTCCACCAAATGATACCTTTCTTGGTGTCCTCATTTTAAAAACATTCTCAAGCAAGAATTGATTGGTTCAACTTTAGTCAGGTGGCCACCCCTAGTCCAATCAATGGAGTCATCCATCAAGAGGAAGCAAAAGTAGGTCAGCAAGTGAGCCAGATGGTTTGGTCCCAAGATGAGAGCTCAAGTTACCAACCAGGGTTCTTGGCCACCTTCATCAGTAGAATTGATCAGAGACCAGATAAGAAATCCAGGCAAGGTTTTATTGGGATCCCTGTTGCAGCAGTGGGGAGTGAGAACAAACAACAGGTTCCCTTTACTTGCTCATTTCCCAATAGCAGAGAGGGGCGAGCTGGTTCCTTATATGGGGTGAGTGGGGGCAGGGGGTCCAGGGGTTGAGCTGGAGGGGTGGCTTAGGTGGTACCCAGCCCTCAGGTGGTATTGTGTGCAGGAGGCATGCACAATACCCTGTTCTTGCTCCCAGCTCTTCAGAAGCAGCAGTTGGGGTTTTCTGGTCTTTTTGTATCTTATTGTCCATAATTTGCCCCTTGTATACATACATGCCTGCAGGCATTTTTAGTCCCTTACAGTTTCTTTTTTTGTTGTTGCCCCAGGAGAGGTTTGTCTAGGTGCAAGCACTGCAGGAAAGGGTCCCAGGTCCCGTGTCTCGGCCTGTCTCAAAGTTAACGCTGAAGAGACCAAAACCCCACACTACCAGCACCCCTCCTTACCTAGACACACAACAATAACACTGAAGTGTTAACTATTCCTTTATTAGGTGGTGAGGGAACAGGGGGCTGTACAATGCAAGGCCTGGGGACTTAGCTACACAGGGATTGTGACCAGAAGCTATATTACAAAAATAGCCTACAAATACTTCTATTTTGCCCTGGGGCTGGGCCAGAGGAGTACCAGGAAAAAGAGGTGCCAGGCAGGCAGCTCCTTCTCTTCCTGCAGGCCCATTGTTTACAGGGAGACAAAGTAGAATGCACACATCTCCCCTGGTCCTCATATTCCCACCAGCCACCCCACCCTCCCAGTTCCCAAAGGAAGAAGGCCCACACCCTAGGATGGGGGTGGGGGGACTGTGGGCGGGCTCTCTGGGCCAGAGGGCAAAGCTCTAGAATAAGTTCCATCTGGAATGCAGTGAAGTGAGGGAGGTGGAGCAGGGAGGAGGCTCCCAAGTCTCACCCGACCCCTAGCCCCGGAGGGTGCGCCCAAGGGTGCCTACTTGGTACACACCAGGGTCGTGTACTCAGTACACAGGAGCCCGGTCATGCCTGTGTACTTGGTACACAGAATCCAGCTTGGCCGAATGGGCCCACAGACTCAGCCCCACGGGGGCACTGGGGGGGTTCGCAGGGGGGCAGAGAGCATCTCCATATATATATTTTGTAAAAAATAATAATAATAATAAGTTTGTTTAAATGAATTTGTTTCTATACAAAATGTAAAAAAAAATAATAATAATCCACTTGTGTCAGAGCAGGAGTGAGAGGGAGGCCAGAGAAGGCAAGAAAAGGGGGGAAGAGAGAATGGGGGTAGGGGGGTATTGGCCACAGGATGAGGGGAGAGGCAGGAGGATGTCCTAGACTCACCACAGGACCCAAGGGTGAGGGTCAGCCTGCACCCCTTATAAATAAAGGAAGACTGAAACCCTAGGCTGGTGACCTATCTTGGTCACACTGCAAGGAGAGTGGGGTGCAGGAGAAAACAAGAGACAGAATGAAATGGACTAAAAGGGGAGACAGAGAGAGGAATCATGATGGGATGCCCCTTCAGTCTCCCCAAATCCAGGAACTGGGGAGTCCTCAGGCCAACACTTGCCTCTTGGGGGTGACTTCAGGCTGGGGCCCTAGCTGGGTCTGGGCCTGAGCAAGAGCGCCAGGGACAGACAGGGGGAGGGGCTGGGCCGACAGCGACCCAGCAGCTGTGGCCGTGGCCCCGGTGGCAGTGGCCGGGCTGGGCGTGGAGTCAGACCAGTCCGACAGTGAGGGCGGGGAGGGGCTGGCCCAGTGCTCGGGGGACTCGGGGGATGGGGTCAAGTAAGGGTGCTCGCTGGGGACCCGCAGGAAGCGGGCCTTGGGGGGGCTGCCGTGGGCCCCAGCCACTGCGGGGAATTCCTCGCCGTGTCCTGGGGCGGCCAGGTAGGGCGGGGGCCGCTCCTGGGGGGACACGGGATTCCCGGGGTTCAGCAGCTGGGGTCCCGGGGCCAGCGGCAGCAGGAAGGAGGGGCCTGGAGGGGCGGGTGGGGGCAGCCGGGCCCAGTCGAGGGGTACGGCCACGGGGTTCAACAAGCCCAGGCTGAGCACGCAGCCCCCAGGGGGCTGGCGCCCTAGACCCGCCCGGCCCGCGCCACCCAGCTGCGCCAGAGACACGGCCGTGGCCGTGGCGGCCGCGTAGGGCCCCTCGAGGGGGAAGCCGCCAGGGGACGCGGGGGGCCCGCCAAAGGCCCGCGGGGAGTCCAGCGAGTCCACGGGCGAGAGCGTGACCGAGCTGTCGGCCAAGGGCCCCGGGCAGGCCAGCGTCAGCTTCTTGCCCCGCCCCCGGGTGCCCTGCGGCCCCAGCCCCGCCTTCCCCGGGGGCCTCCGGCTCTTCTTGGCCCCGGCCTGCGCCACCTTGAGGCCGGGGAGGAAGGCCCCGGGCGGGCAGAGCAAGGGCCCCAGGCCGTGGGGGCCCGGAGGGCTGCGGGGCCCGCTGGGCTGGTCCAGCAAGCGCACGATGTCCTGGTGCAGCCTCTCCTGGGCCACGTCCCGGGGCAGCCTGTCCAGGTGGTCTGTGATCTCCCGGTTGGCAAAGTGGTCCAGCAGCAGCTTGGCCGCCTCGAAGCTGCCCTCCCGAGCGGCCAGGAACAGTGGGGTCTCTTCCTGTGGGGGCCCGGGAACCCAAAAGACGTCAGGGTCACGAGTCAGGTTAAGTCCTGCCTAACACCACAGAGGCCTCTAGTGTCTGAGGGAAGCGGAGCTAAGAGTTCCTACTCTGCAGCCAGACAGACCTTGATTGGAATCTCAGTTCTGCCTGGGGGTAAAACTGGGCAAGTTCTTTCCTTAAAGCCCTGTTCATCCAGCACCTATTAAGAAACTTCAGGGCCCAAAGCCAGGGTGAGGTGAGTGAGGCACTCACCTTAGGCACAGAATTTAAGGGGGTGGCGAAAAATTCTGTTATCAAAATAAATGGTATTTAATGCAGCTTTTAAAGTTAAGATTAATGCAAAAAAAAAATCCATAACAAATATAGCATGGAAATTTTAGATAAAGATGGAATCTATCCTTGCATTCTTTTGAACCTCATTTTTCCATTTGTGAAATGAGAGTAATACCACCTTGCAAGGGTTTTCAAACAACAGTCATAAGAGCTATCTTTTGTTGTGGATCCGCTAAGCACTTTACAAAAGGATTAGCTCACTGAATCCTTGGAAGAAGCGATGAGGTGGGTGCTGTTGCTTCTCCATTTCAAAAATGTGAACAGAAGTTCAGAAGAGTTCAGTAACTTGCCCAAGGTCACCAGCAACTGCCATCCACTTCCTCCCCTGATCCACTATTGGAACCTCTTGGGCCCTGATCCCACACCGGAATGCTGGCTACAGGCAGGGTGAGTGTCCCCACTAGCCTCCCCCAGTCTCCTCTCTGCTACCTGTGGCGGCTGTGCCAAGGCTGAAGGTGATCCAAAGGCTGGGGCTCACCTTGCTATCCTGCATGTCCTTGTTGGCTCCGTTTTTGAGCAGAGCCAAGGTGGCCTCCACGTTGTTGACAGCTGCAGCCCAGTGTAAGGCCGATTTTCCTAGGGAAGTGAGGAAAGGTCAAGGTCAGGACCCGGCCCACTAGCTGCCCCTCCCCCACAGGGGGGAACAGGAAGTGTCTAGAATATGGGCTGGGGTGGGGGGGCGGGGAGGGGAGGCTTACCAGAGTATCTGAGTACCTGTGTTTGGGTCCACGTGCGCACTTTCCATATTTGGTGTAACTTTCCATATTTGGGGCATATTATGTGGGCCTCACTAAGTTGTACATAGAGCTGTGCTGTCCAATGCAACAGCCAGTCACATGTGGTTCTTTAGTTTATATAAATTACAGAAAAAAAAAAAAGAAGTTCCCTGGTAGCCTAGTGTTTAGGATTCCAAGCTTTCATTGCTATGGCCCAGGTCCAATCCCTGGTCAGGGAACTGAGATCCTATAAGCTTCACAGCATGGCAAAAAATAAATTAATTAATTAAATTGGTGTCAAGACAGTTTAATGGGGAAGGGTTAACTTTCTCAACAGATCGTGCTGGGGGGCTTCCCTGGTGGCTCCACAGTAGAGAATCTGCTTGCCAATGCAGGGGACACAGATTTGATCCCTGATCTGGGAGGACCCCACATGCCTCGGAGCAACTAAGCCTGTGTGCCACAACTATTGGGCCTGTGGTCTAGAGCCCAGGAGCCGCAACTACTGATGCCCTTGAGCCTAGAGCCCATGTTCTGCAACAAGAGAAGCCACCACAGGGAGACGCCCACACACTTCAACTAGAGAGGAGCCCCCCAGTCATTGCAACTAGAGAAAACCCACATACAGCAACGAAGACCCAGCACAGCCAAAAATAAATAAAAATTATTTCTTTAAATGGTGCTGGTACAACTGGATCTCCACATGCAAAAGAACAAAGTTGGACTCCTACGTCACACCATATACAAAAAATAATTCAAACTGAATCCAATATCTAAATGTAAGAGCTCAAACTATAAAACATTTAGAAAGAAACACAGGAGTAAATTTTCATGAGACCTTGAATTAGGCAAAGGATTCTTAGATATGACACCCAAAACACAAGCAACAATAACAACAAAAATAGATAAACTGGACAAAATCAAGATAAAAAACTTTTGTGCTTGTAAGGACATCATCTAGAAAGTAAAAAAGAAAACCTCTAGGGAAATTCCCTGGCAGTCCAGTGGTTAAGATTCCAAGCTTCCACTGTAGGGGGTGGAGGTTCGATTCCTGGTAGGGGAACTAAGGGATTGCCCGATGGCTCAATGGGTAAAGAATCTGCCTGCAATGCAGGAGACACAGGAGACTCAGGTTCAGTTCCTGGGTTGGGAAGATGCCTTGCAGAAGGGAATGGCAACCCACTCCAGGATTCTTGCCTGGAGAAGTCCGTGGACAGAAGAGCCTGGTAAGCTACAGTCCATGAGATGGAAAGAGTCAGACATGACTGAGTGACTCACACACATAAGGACATCACCTAGAAAGTAAAAAGAAAACCTACAAGAACTTCCCTGGTGGTCCAATAGCTAAGACTCCAAGTTTCCACTGCACAGAGTTGGGGGTTTGATTACCGGTTGGGAAACTAAGATCCCATATGCCGTGGGGTGCAGTCCCCACTGAAAGAAAACCTACAAATATAATAAACCTACTGTATGTTTGATAAGAGACCTACCTAGAATATATGAAGAACTCTTATAACTCAATCATAAAAAGACAAATAACCCAATTTAAAAATGGGCAAAGAATCTGAATAGACATTTCTCCAAAGATATACAAATGGCTAATAAATTTAGAAAAATGCTCAACATCATTAGCCATCAGGGAAATGCAAATCAAACTACATTGAGATACTAAATCACATCCACTAGGGAGACAGTACAAAAAGACAGAGAAAAACAAGTTGTCAGTCGGGATGTGGTGATATTGGAACCTTTTTTATACACTATTGGTAAGAATGAAAAATAGGGCAGCCACTGTGGAAAACAGTCTGGCAGTTCCTCAAAAAGTTAAAAAGAGTTATCATGTGACCTAGCAATTCTGCCCCTAGGGATACATCCCAGAGAAATAAAACCATGTCCACACAAAAACTGATACATGAATTCCACAGCAGCATTATTCATAATAGCCAAAAGGCAGAAACAACCCAAATGTCCATCAGTGGATGAATGCATAAACAAGATGTGGTGCATTCACATAAAAGAGCATTATTTAGTCATTAAAAACAAAAAAGGGGGCTTCTCTGTGTGTTCTAGTGGTCAAGAACCCAGTAGTTAAGAACCCTGCCACACAGGGGACATGGGTTTGGTCTCTGGTCTGGGAGGATCCTGCATATGGTGGAGCAACGAAGCCTGCGCAGCACAGCTACTGAGCCTGTGCTCGAGAGCCCGGGAGCTGCAACTACTGAAGGCCGTGACCCCTGCCGCCCGTGTGCCACAGCAAGAGAAGCCCATGCACTGCAACTAGAGAGTAGCCACCACTTACCACAACTACAGAAAGCCAGCAATGAAGACCCAGAACAGCCAAAAATAAATAATTCAAAAAAAAAGAGGGAGTTCCCTGGTGACCTAGTGGTTAGGATTCTGGGCTTTCACTGCTATGGCTGGGGATCATTCCCTGTCAGAGAACTGAGACCCCGCAAACCTTACAGTAAGGCCAAAAAACAAACAAAAAGCAATACTGGTACATGCTATCATGTATATGCCTGCTATATGCAGGCTCATGAACCTAGAAAACATCACACTAAGTGAAAGGAGCCAACCAAGAAAGATCACGTATTATGTGATTCCATTTATATAAAGTAGAATACACAAATCCTTATAGAGAGAAAGTACATTGGCAATTGTCTAAGGGCCACGGAAAATGAGGGGGTGTGGAGGGGTGATGGCTAAGAGGCAAAAGCTTCTTTTTCAGGTGATGAAAACATTCTAAAATTTATTGTTTCAAAAATAAAATTAAATTTTTTGTGATGATATTTACACAACTTTGTGGTTATACTAGGGGGCTCCCCAGGCAGCGCTAGTGGTAAGTGGTAAAGAACCCAGCTGCCAATGCAAGAGACATAAAAGATGTGGGTTGGGAAGGTCCCCGTGGAGGAGAACATGGCAATCCACTTCGGTATTCTTGCCTGGAGGATCCCAAGGACAGAGGAGCCTGGCGGGCTACAGTCCATGGGGTCACAAAGCATCGGACATGACTGAAGCCAACTTAGCACACACACAGGTGGTTATACAAAAAAAAAAAAAAAAAATCACTGGATTTTACACTTGAATGAATTGCATGGTATGTGAATTATATATCAATTCAGCTATTTTTTTTTAACGCAAAGCAAAGGTTAAAATATTCAATGAAATAAAAGACTCAGTTCTTTGTTCGCCCCAGCCACATTTCAAGTGCTCAGTAACTACCATGCATTGCCAATAGCTACCATATCAGACAGCACAGACCAAGAGTATTTCATCATCACAGTTCTACTGGCCAGTGCCCTTCTAGAACCATATTTCTAAAGCAGGGGTGGTTTTCCTCTCTGGGGCATTTGGCAATGTCTGGAGATATTTTTGGTTGTCACATCTTGGAGGTGGGGTGCTACTGGGATCTAGTAGGTCAAGACCAAGAACGCTACACTGCACAGGGTGGCCCCCACTGCAAAGGATGATCCAATCCCCCAATGTCAGTGTTGCCGAGATTGAGAACACCTGGCTCCAAAGATGTTTCTGAGAGTCCAAGTGTGTCTGTGGTCATGTGAGGTTCTCTAGACACAAGGCAGGTTGCTGTTGGGCAAGCAAGCCACCTCCAAGCAAGAAGTGATCCCCAGCTACAGACTGGCTGATTTGCAAACTTTACACCAGTAGTCCAGCAGGTGGCACCAGTGTGCGCCTGTCTAACAAAGCAGATGGAAAGCAAGCGTGGGAGAACAGCATGCTTGCCTGCTTCGTGCTTCAGGCGTGTCCCACTCTTCGTGAGACCATGGACTGTAGCCCACCAAGCTCCTCTGTCCATGGAATTTTCCAGGCAAGAATACTGGAGTGGGTCGCCATTTCCTACTCCAGGGGATCTTCTTGACCCAGGGATCGAACCCATGTCTCCTGTGTCTCCTGCATCGTCAGGCAAATTCTTTACCACTGAGCCACCTGGGAAGCCCCATGGGGGAAGGCACCTTTTTCTAAATCACTGCAGCACAATATAGGCTAATGGGTGTCATTTTTAAAAAAATAAATGTGTGAGAGTGTAAGTCCATGTTGAAACCCTGTTATGAGTGCCTGGGTTTCACTGACCGGGTCTCGGTGTGGGTATGAGTTCACACCAAGTTAGGGTCCCGGTGACACTGTCTCAGCCCACACCCACCGCTACCCCCCGCAGCCTACCGAGCTCATCCACAGCATTGACATCAGCGTGGCTGGCAATGAGCTCTTCCACCATGCCCTCCACCGCCAGGCGGGCTGCCAGGATCAGTGCCGTGGAGCCGTCTGCCATGCGAGCATCCAGGTCTGTAGAGCGGTTCCGGATGAGAATCTAAGGGAGATGTGGGTGCAGCAGGGGGAGTCATGGCAAGAACAAGGGAACAAGAAGCACCCCCAAGCCCTCTGAGGACCCCAACCAATGCCTCCCATGGAACTGATGTGTTCAGGGAGCAGCTACTTTACAGTAACTCTACACTCATATATCCCCATTTCACAAATGAGAAAGATGAGCTCTGACAGGCAGAACCAGGGCTCAAACCCAAGTCTGTCTGACGTGAGTCCCAGCTCTCAAGTCCCAAGAGGCAAGCCGATCTCACCTGGAAGACGCCCTGGGCATCAGCAGTGACGGCTGTGTGCAGAGGGGTGCGGCCAGAGTGGTCCTGGGCATTGGTGTCTGCCCCAGCGTCCAGCAGCCGCTTGGCCGCGTCAGCCCGGGCATAGCGGGCAGCCAGGTGCAGGGCTGTCTCGCCAGTACGGTCAGTCCGAGCCCCAAGCTGTGCCCCCTGGCAGATCAGGTCTGAGATGATACTGGCTGATGTGTCTTCTGCCTCATCCTCTTCAGCTGGGATTGGCTCCAGGGCTCCCCCGCAGAAGGAGGCCAGCATTAGAGGGGTGAAGCCATCTGTAGGGACCAGGAGTGTGTCAGAAAGGAGGCGGACACAGGGCCTTCCCAGGGAATACGACACTGCATTAGGAGGAAGTGCACTGCATTAGGAGGAAGTGGGATGTATGGAAGTACAAGATCGAGGGGCCAATCCTCCCATCACACACACGCACACTCACACACACACACGCACACACCTGACACACACACTTGTGCCAGGTACCCCAAAGCCAACCCAGGATGAGGCTTCACAGGCATTTGGTTTGTGACAGGAGGCCTCCTAGGCAGTAGGGCACACAGAACGAGGGAGGAAGTCAAGCAAGTCGACAATGACCACATTCCTGGAGAGTTATTTCAGCCTGAGTTATTTCACTTTGTCAGCAAAGGTCCATCTAGTCAAAGCTATGGTTTTTCCAGGAGTCACGTACAGATGGGAAAGTTGGACCATAAAGAAGGCTGAGCACCCAAGAATTGATGCTTTCGAATCATGGTGCTAGAGCAAGGAGATCAAACCAGTCCATCCTAAAGGAAATCAACCCTGAATATTCAGTGGAAGGACTGTTACTGAAGCTGAAGCTCCAATACTTTGACCATCTGATGCGAAGAGCTGATTCACTGGAAAAGACCCTCATGCTGGGAAAGATTGAGGGCAGGAGGAGAAAGGGGCAACAGAGAATGAGATGGTTGGATGGCATCATTGACTCAATGGACATGAATGTGAGCAAACTCCAGGAGACAGTGAAGGAAGGGAAGCCCGGTGTGCTGCCATCCATAAAATACCAAGTACCTGGGGGCCTAATGGGAGTCCAAAGAGAGCCACGGGTGCGAGTCATTTGGAATGAAAGCAAAACAGAGCTGCAGGAGGCATATTATAAAATGTGGCAAAGACAGACCCAAGAGGATTCACATACCATGGTCTGCTCTACTCTGATAGAGCATTTGTTCTTGTTTTCCTTAGGAAGCCACTAGCACCCCATTCTCAAGCCCTAGGTAAAGGCAAATCGCCCACGCAGGGACAGGCATATAGCCCAGGCCTGTCAATCTGCATGTTCCAGGTCCCAGGCCACACTGATTGGCTCACACATGGGGCACGTGACCTTAGACCATCCAATCAGAACTCATCCTTGGAGGACTTCCCTGGTGGCCCAGTGACTAAGAATCTGCTGACCAAGGCAGGGAACCCGGGTTGGATCCCTAATCTGGGAAGATCCCACATGCTGCGGAGCAACTAAGCCCGTATGCCACAATTCCTGAGCCTGGGTACCCTAGAGGCATGCTTCGCAATACGAGAAGCCGCGGCAGCGAGAAGCCCCTGCACCGCAACTAGAGAAGACCTGTGAACAGCAACAAAGAGCCCACACACTGCAAAAAAGACCCAGTGCAGCCGACAATTTTTAAAAAATAAATAAATAGCTTTCATTGGCCAAAGATACAATAGTTTGAGCATCAACAAGAATGTGTGCATTAAATTTAAACATAGCAGCTACATTAAAAAAAAAAAAAAAACCTCATCCTGGGACTTTTGCTGTTACAGATGAGAAAAAGGTTTTGTAATGCCAGCAGGAGAAAGACTGCCTGGACTGGAACCAAAAGTTGACAAGTCCAGGATCCAAATGTGCCTGAAGCTTCTGTTTACAAGAGCCAGTAAATAAATCCCTTGTTTTACTTAAGTTAGCTTGAGTTGGGCTATTACCACTTAACGACCAGGAGTCCTGACTAACACACACACCCACAGCCAGCCAGCCAGACACACCCTGCTGTCCCTAGAGCACAGACTCAAATGGAACCTCTGATGAGCAGGATGGATCAAGGGCATTCTGGAGGCAGGGGCGCCATCACTGACCTGGACCGCGCACGTTGACATCCATGCCATCCGCATCTGCATCGCCCTGCGGCGGTGTCAAGGCCATGGCTGGTGCCACGCGGATGTCGGCGGCAACCAGGTGGTGTTGAGTCCACTGGCGGCAATCCACAGCGTCCTCAGTCCCCACACCAGGCTCCTCCACCTGGAGGCACAAGGACCCAGGTTCTCACAAGGAATTGGGAGACACAGAGGGACCATCTGGGCATTCTCACAGAGAGGCACACACGGCGGATGCCGAGAAGCCATTAACGTCCTGCTTGATAGGGAATTCCCAGGTGGTTCAGTGGTAATGAGTCCGCCTGCCAGTGCAGGAGACACAGGTTCGCTCCCTGGGTCGGGAAGATCCCCTGGAGGAGGTAATGGCAACCCCCTCCAGTTCTTGCCTGGAAAATCCCATGGATAGAGGGATCTAGCGGGCTACTGGAGAGGGCAATGGCACCCCACTCCAGTACTCTTGCCTGAAAATCCCATGGACAGAGGAGCCTTGTGGGCTGCAGTCCACGGGGACACTAAGGGTCGGACGTGACTGAGCGACTTCGCTTTCACTTTTCACTTCCATGAATTAGAGAAGGCAATGGCAACCCACTCCAGTGTTCTTGCCTGGAGAATCCCAGGGACGGGGGAGCCTGGTGGGCTGCCGTCTATGGGGTCACACAGAGTCAGACACGACTGAAGCGACTTAGCAGCAGCAGCAGCAGCGGGCTACAGTCCATGGCGGTTGAAAAGAGTCGGACACGACTGAGCGACTGAGCACACACAGCAGGACTAAACAGAGCCTGATCAAATCAGATCTGAACTTGAGGACCCGGGTGGGGAGTTTAATTTCATAAACGGGGAGAGCCAGGTGACGGACAGCTAACCGGAAAAGGTCCTGGAGGATGGGACACCCTTCAATGTGGATTTAGTGTCTGACACTGTCCCTTAGTAGACTTGTAACCCTACAATTCTGAGCTTCTCATTGGTAAAATCAAGATGATGCAGTCAGGGACTTCCCTGGTGGCCCAGTAGTTAAGGATCCGCCTGCCAATGCAGGGGACATGGGTTTGATCCCTGGTCCGGGAAGATTCATTATGCCTCAGAGTAAATAAGCCTGGGCACCACAATGACTGAGCCCTCGCCCTGGAGCCCATGCTCTGCAACAAGAGAAGCCACCGCAATCAGCAGGCTGACCACTGTAACTAGAGAGAAGCCCTAGTCTCCACAACTAGAGAAAACCCACTCAAAGCAACAAAGATCCAGCATGGCCAAGGATTAACTAATTAACTAACTTTAAAAAAAAAAAGATGATGCAATAATCCCACAATACCCACATAAACATTCTGCACCATATACTTAACACCCACTTTTGGATGAGAAAGTAAAAGAAAAAAGCCTGAGGCAAGCAGATTTCTTTAGCTGTCATTTGCAATAGAAGTATCCATTTTAACAAGCAAAACACAGGCAGGAGGAGAAGGGGATGACAGAGGATGAGATGGTAGGATGGCATCACCAACTTGATGGACATGAGTTTGAGCAAACTCCAGGGGTTGGTGATGGACAGGGAAGCCTGGCGTACTACATACAGTCCATGGGGTCACAAAGAGTTGTACATAACTGATTGAACTGAACTGAAAACACAGGAAAAGGGAGGAGACTCCCTGGTGGTCCAGTGGTTGGGACTCTGCACTTTCATTACAGAGGGCCACAGTACAATCCCTGGTCAAGGGACTAAGAATCCATAGGCCACCCAGTGTGGCCAAGAAAAACATAGGTAGGGGAGAGGCAGCTAAGCATGGAAGTATATATCAATAGCTGCTTTATAGCATCCTCACAAAGATGAAATAAGAGGCTTTGTGTACATCCCAGACATTCAACAAGCTTCAAAGTATGCTAGCAGGAACCTGTTATGAATTGTGCTACCCCCAAATCATATGACATCACTTTGCCAACAAAGGTTTATCTAGTCAAAGTTATGGTTTTTCCAGGAGTCTTGTACGGATGTGAGAGCAGGACTATAAAGAAAGCTGAGCACCAAAGAACTGATGCTTTTGAACTGTGGTGTTGGAGAAGACTCTTGAGAGTCCCTTGGACTGCAAGAAGATCAAACCAGTCAATCCTTAAGGAAGTCAACCCTGAATATTCATCAGAAGGACTGGTGCTGAAGCTGAAGCTCCAATACTTTGGCCACCTGATTCGAAGAGCTGACTCATTAGAAAAGACCCTGATGCTGAGAAAGATTGAAGACAGGAGAAGGGGGCAACAGAGGATGAGATGGTTGGATGGCATCACCAACTCAACGGACATGAGTTTGAGCAAACTCAGTGAGATGGTGAAGGACAGGGAAGCCTGGCATGCTGCAGTCCATGGGGTCGCAAAGAGTCAGACACGACTTAGCGACTGATCAACAACAAAAATCATATGATGAAGGCCTAATCCCCCAACATGACTATATTTAGAGACATAGCTTTTAAGGAAGTAATTAAGGTTAAATAAGATCATAGGGGTGGAGCCCTAATCCAATAGGACCAGTGGAAGAGGAAGAGACACCAGAGTTCTCCCTCATTCTCAGCACACAAAGAGGAAAGGTCATGTGAGGACACAGTGAGAAGACACATTCTCAAGATAAGAAGAGCCAATCCTGCCAGCACACTGATCCTGGACTTACAGCCTCCAGTGTGTATCTGTGCCTGCTAAGTTGAATCAGTCGTGTCCGACTCTATGCGACGCTATGGACTATAGCCCACCAGGCTCCTTTGTCCATGCGATTCTCCAGGAGAGAATACTGGAGTGGGTTGCCATGCCCTCCTCCAGGGGATCTTCCTGACCCAGGGATTGGACTCACGTCTCCTGCCTTTCCTGCACTAGCAGGTTCTTTATACCATCAGCGCCTCCTGGGAAGCCCCAGCCTCCAGAGGTGTGAGAAAATAAGTGTCTTGTTTGAGCCACTCAGTCTGCAGTATTTCATTATGGCAATGCTCGCCCAGGTGTGGCCCCTGGACAGGAAAAGACTAGCTGGGGGTGTTCTCAGGCAGGGCACGCTGGACTAAGGTGGCCGCATCAGAGAGAATGCAGAGTCACTCTCTGGGATAGGGGATCCCCTCTGGAAAGATGCCAGGAGCAGGATGGGGTGGTTGCCGTGACTGTTCTCCAGAACCAGGGACAGCGGGGATTCCCCTGGCTCTCCCACTGACCACTGGACCCCCACCCAGGACCCTGAGGGCAAGGGTCACAGGAGGGAACACAACCTTCAGTCGCTTGGCCTCCGGGCACTCTGTGTCCATCCAGTCGGTGGCCACCTCCCCCATCAGACTCTCACCCTTAGCCATGTTCCTGTGGGGACAGTGGGGAGGGGGGAGGGACAACGGGGTCAGCAGGGGCAGGGCCCACAGGGTCAAGAGACAGGGTCTAAGGACGGGATGCAGGATGTGGTCAGGGTTGCAGGGGATACTCTTAGGGGTTGTGATGGGTGACAGTCAGGTGGAACTGGGGAAGGGACAGGAGTCAGCGGTCAGAGCAGTTGTCTGTGGGTCAGGTGAGGGTCATAGGCATACAGCATGGGTTACAGCAGATGACATCATAGTCATGGAAGACAGAGTTATCCTCATAGCAGGTGAGAGATGTAGCCAGGAATGAAGAGGTTGTGGAGAGGCAGCAGAGGGCACAGGGTCACAGGAGAGGTAAATTCAGGGATTAGGACAGGGTGTGGCTGGAGTCTTGAGGGGCCAGTCAGGGAGGTGGAGGTCATGGCCAAGGCCAGGACTGAGGATCCTGGGGAATGAGCACTGAGTTGGGGTGGAAAGGTGGTGAGAAGTCAGCAAGAGTCAGGGTAGGTTATTCTTGAGGCTTTCAATGGCTAAGTCAAAGATCTCTCGGTAAATGTCAGTGCACTTGCACATATGTGGGTTATTTTAAAATTTCTTTTGATATTGATTTCTAACATGATTCCACAGTGATAAGAGAACAGACTCCATATGATTTCAATACCTTTAGACCATGACATTTTTGCACCTTGTTTTATGACCCTGGGTATGGGCCAGTATCTCCTGGTTTATAGTCTATGGGAACTTGAAGGTTTTGTCCCCTGCTGCTGTGTGAAAATTGTATAATCTTAATTATGTTGAATTGGCTCATACTGCTTTTCAGGTCTACCATATCCCTCTGCTTTTCTGTCTGTTCATTCTGTTAATTTTTTGAGTTTGATATTGAAACTCCAATGAAAAATCTTAATTATCTACTTAAAAAATAATTGTAACATACAGTGGAACTATATGTAACTTTCTTCTGTATTTTCCAAGTCTCCCATAAATGTGCTATCATACTCTCATAAATTAAAAAATTAAAAATTAAAACAAAAAAAAAGTCAGGGTAGGTTAGAGCCAGAGGTGGTGCTGGGGCTCATAGAGGATAGGATCAGGGGGTCCAGTGAGGGGTTGGGGTGCAGACAGGGGTCATGAGGTGCACAGTCATGTGGGAACACATTCTGAGTATCAGGGTGAAGTCTGAGAGGCTGGGATGGGGGAGCGGGTAGTCACAGTAGGATTTGAGTCCGGGAACTGGGCCATAGGAAAGGGGATCGAGGGCCACAAATCAGGGGTGACCCCTGAGGGGTTATGGAGTCGTTGGTCAAGGAGACAAACACTGATGTCCAGGCTGGAGTCTGAAGTTAGGGTCAGGTAGGGGTCAGAGGTCAGAGTCAGGTGAAGGTGGGCTCAAGGGCTCATCAGACCCGGCCATAGTCAGGGACGGGGTGAGGGATCGGGTAGGGTCCTCACTTCATGCCCAGCGCGTCTTGGCCCACGGGTTCCCGCCGGCCCTTGTGTCCCGCGGCCACATCCTTGTGCAGCGCGAAGCCCTCGGGGAACCAGAGGGTGCTGTGCTCACGCTTGCGGCGGGCCACCATGACGCCGAGGACCAGGAGGACCAACAGGAAGATGCCGCTGGCCGCCAGCAGCGGTAACAGCGGCACGCTTGGTTCCGGCAGCTCCACCGGCTCCCCTGCGGGCAGGAAGCAGGGGGTCTTTACCAGGGGCCTGGGCCCACCCTCATCCCCTGACCCCCGGCCGGGCCTCACCCCGCGCCGCCCGCAGTGGGTAGGGGAAGTCAAGGCGCTCCACCGCCGACAACGCTCCCAAATAGTCCGCCGCGCTCTGAGCGTCAGGGAAACAGTGGTCATTCTCGGGCGACTGCAGGCACAGACGGTTGTCAATCTCCAGCATCACTACAGAGCTGCGGGACACAGGGGAGGGGCAGGAGGCTCAGCAGGCACTGCTACAAGCCCCGCCCCAGGCCCCGCCCACCTCCCCAAGCCGCGCTCGGAAGCGCCTCTCTACTCACCAGGTCCCCACTAACTCCCATCCGGCATCCAATCCCACCACATCCCCTCAAACTACCTTTTTTAAAATCCACTTACCATATATTTGGTGATATTAAGGATGTTTATTTTTTTTAGCTGTGGTCATGGTATTACAGTGTTTTTAAGAAGAGAGCTTATATTTTTTTTAGAGAAGCATACTGAAATGTCTACATATGAAGTGACACGCTATCTAGGAACTATTTTGACATATCATGGGAACTAGGACAAATCGAAGGGACTAGATATGAAACAGGAATGGCCTATGGGGGACTGCCCTCATAATCCAATGGCTAAGACTCCCAGCACCAAGTCCAGGGGGCCTGGGTTCAGTTCCTGGTCAGGGCACTAGATCTCACATGCCACAACTAAAGACCCTATAAAGACGAACAAAGATCCCATGAGCCACAACTAAGATCCAGCGAAGCCAATATATATATATATATATATATATATATATATATATATATATATAAGAATGGCCATATGTACTCATTGTCAATGCTTGGTCCTAGGTACCTAGATGTGCACAATCCTGATCTGTTTTTGCATATGCTTAAAGTTCTTTGCCAATTCCCAAGCCAGTATTGCTGTGGCCACCAATGTCCTCTAAGTCATGAATCCAATGGCCACTGTTTTCCCATCAAAATCTCCTTTCTCAGGCTGGTGCATCCACCTCCTGCCTGCTATGAGCACTGGCTTCTAACAATTGACAGCTGTCCCTTCCCCCAGAGAACTAGCCTCAGCAAAGTGGGTAGCCCTTCCCTTGGAAGGTGACACTACTTAGGGAAGCCCCAGGCCAGGGACTGACTGATGTGTACAAAAGCTGGCCCTTCTGTCTCAAGGCGGGACCGACCTTACCCTCCAGAGCTCTCCAAGGGATCAGGCTGTGGCCCGATCCTGGCCGAGGCTCCCTCCTGCCTCAGTTCCTGCCCCTGTCCCATCCTGCCTCCCTCATCCCCGATCAACCCAGAACACCCTTTCAATACATTGCCTATATGTGAATCTCCACCTCAGGCTCTGCTTCCAGGAACCCAACCCTCCAAACATTTTCTTTCTTCAGGATACCCAGTACCCCAAGTCCTGGGCCCCCTTCCGTCTCTGCTCCTTCCGCTTCTCTTTTCTGAGCTAATTTCTTTCAACCAATCTTTAGGACTCAGGGTCCCCATTTCTGTTCCCCACACGTCTCCCTACTTCTTCAAGTCCCTCCATGGCTACAATGATTGCCAAGCTCGTTGGTCTCACTTTTCAGACCCTAGCTGCCTCCTGAGGGTCTCCCCGAGACCCCCAGTTCCCTCCAGACTCTACAAGTCACAAAGTGACCCCGAATTTCCACCTGATGTCTTAATCTTTTTTAAAAGAGATTTTTAAAATTTATTTATTTTTGGCTGTGCGGAGTCTTCATTGCTCCACGAACTTTTCTCTAGTTCTGGACAGGAGGGGCTATGCTCGTTGCAGTGTGCGGGCTTCTCACCGCGCTGACTTCTCTTGCTGCAGGGCACTGGCTGTAGGGGACGCAGGCTCAGCAGTTGCGGTTCCTGGGCTCTAGAGCACAAGCTCAGCAGCTGTGGTGCACGAGCTGAGTCCCTCCAGCTTCCCAACACAGGGATCGAACCGATGTCTCTTTGCATTGGCAGGTAGATTCTTTACCACTAAGCTGCCAGGGAAGCCCTGTGTCTTCCTCTTGATGAGAACACTTCCAGCAACTCAGTCACCCAGCCAAGGACTGGCACACCACCCATCCACCCATCTCCTTCATCCCAATCAGACGTCCTGCTCCTCACCTCTAACTTCCAGCCCTCCTCTCTGTGTCAGGGTCCTACCCTGTTCAGAAGCCACATCTCCCTCTGGTTCCTCCACCAGGTCACCAGCAGGAGAGTTTTATATTTTCCATTTATATTAATTTTGGACAGTTTGATACTGAAACTCCAACTAAAAATCATAATCTACCTACTTAAAAATGATCATAATATACACATTCATATTAAGTGGCTTCATTCATGTCCAACTCTTTGCAACCCCAATGAACTGTAGCCCCTGGGCTCCTCTGTCCATGGAATTCTCCATGCAAGAATACCGGAGTGGGTTGACATGCCCTGCTATAGGGGATCTTCCTGACCCAGGGATCAAACCCACGTCTCTTACATCTCCTGCACTGGCAAGAGGGTTCTTTACCACTAGCACTGACTGGAAAGCCCATAATATATAATGCAACTACATGTAACTTTGTTTTTTATTTTTACAAGTCTCCTATATGCTTCCCTTGTGGCTCAACTGGTAAAGAATCTGCCTGCAATGCAGGAGACCTGGGTTCAATCCCTGTGTTATGTTGGGAAGATCCTCTGGAGAAGGGGAAAGCTACCCACTCCAGTATTCTGGCCTGGAGAATTCCATGGACTGTATAGTCCATGAGGTCGCAAAAAGCCAGACTAGACTGAGCGACTTCTACTTCACTATAAATTTTATAAGTTAAAAAATAAATTAAAACAAAAAACAGGGCAAGTTAGAGCCAGAGGTGGTACTGGAGCTCATAGAGCATAGGATCAGGGGGTTCAGTGAGAGGCTGGGGTGCAGACACGGGTCAGGAGGGGGGCTCTTCTTCTGCTCCCCAAAGGACCATTGCCCATGTCTGGAGGCATTTCTGGTTGTCACATCTGGGAGGGGGGAGATCTGTTGCCTGCATCCAGTGAGTAAAGGCCAGGGAACATGCCAAACACCCTACAGTGTACAAGACAGAACAGCCCCTCACAGTAAAGAATGGTCTGGCCCCAAATGTCAATGGTGCTGAGGTTGAGATGTGTGTATTATATGTATTATATAACACTGTATGTACTACCAAGAAGGCATTCCCACATGTTGAGTATTTCCTAAGCAGTGAAATCAATGAAAACATAACTGGACTAAAGGCCTAACCCAGAGCCTGAAACCTACTAGGTGCTTTATCAGATATTTCCGGAGTAAAGCCAAGTTCAGCCACAGAGTTTTAGAGTTTGAAGGGAACTTAAAAATAGCCAGAATAGGGGTTCCCAGATGTTAAGGGAAGTAAAACGCACAAGGGGTTTGGCTTCCCTGGTAGCTCAGCTGGTAAAGAATCTGCCTGCAATGTGGGAGACGTGGGTTCCATCCCTGGGTTGGGAAGATCCCCGGGAGGAGGGCATGGCAACCCACTCCAGTATTCTTGACTGGAAAATCCCCATGGACAGAGGAGCCTGGCTGGTTACAGTCCATGGGATCGCAAAGAGTCAGACACGACTGAGAGACTCAGCACAGCAAAGGCACAAGGCCTTATGAATGGTGCCCCTTCCCTTGCATCTGCGTGCGCCCCCCACAGCTCCCCTAGGGGTGGAGTCACTCACCCGATCACCTCGGGGGCCAGCTCCCGCCGATTCCGGGACTCAGCGCCAGGCCCGGGCCGATGGTAAGGGAAGACCATGGCCTGACCGTTCTCGTCCAGACGGAAGCGCAGCGAGGTGCGCAGGATGCCGCTGAGCCGCTGCAGGAAGTCGGCGCTGGAGCGCAGCAGCTCCTCCGGCGGCAGCAGCACTGTGAGCACCAGGACGCCACGGGCCAGCAGGGCCGGCACCTCACCCGCACAGTCCAGGCCGTCCCAGCCGCACTCCTCCGTGTTACAGCCCTGGTCGCAGCGGCCGTCAGCGAAGTGGTCCGCGCAGTACTTCTCATACACTGGGCTGGGGGCGAAGGAGGGCGGGGTCAAGGGAGCCTCCCCCCAACCCCTAACCCCACACGTCCCCACCTTGCCCCCCTGTGCACGAATACACCACAAAGCACCCAAGACTCCTCAAGGATCAGAGATCTGGAATATATCCACATGCTTGTGGAATGTATCAGGCTTTCTGCAAAACCAGCCAGTTGCTTTGCAATTATTAAGTCAATAACTATTGACAACCACGTCCTAGGTGCTGAGCGCAGCTGTAGGCACTTAGGATATGAGTGAGGTGAAAACGTTAGTCACTCAGTCTTTGAGACCCCATGGATGGTGGTCCGCCAGGCTCCTCTGTCCGTGGAATTCTCCAGGCAGGAATACAGAAGTGAGTAGCCTTTCCCTTTTCCAGGGGATCTTTCCAACCCAGGGATCAAACCCAGGTCTCCTGCATTGCAGGCAGATTCTTTACCGACTGAGCTACCAGGGAAGTCCACTAAGGATATGGCCCCAACACAAAACCTTACCCACTTGAAGCTGTCATTACAATGGGCAGAGACATATATTAAAAATGATGAATGAGCAGAACATACAGTGTTTTGATTACACACCAATAAAGGCTAAATGTAAACATACACATACACACACACAAATTAAATGCTAAGGGAAAAAATTAAGCAGAGGAAGTGCTGTGGGTGGCCAGAAAGGAGTTCACAGAGAGACTTGTGCTTGAGCAAAGACTTGAAGGAGATGAGGGAGGAGCCATGTGACTCCCTGAAAGACAAGCCAGAGTGAACAGCCAGTGCAAAGGCCCTGAGATGGGCCCAAGCCGGGGAATCTAAAGACTGAAGAAAGGCCGGGATGGCTGGAGCAGAATGAGACGGGGGAGACAGAAGGACACGCAGAGGGTCAGACAGGACAGAGAATATGGATGGATAGAGAGAATGTATGAGACAGACAGGCAAGCCTCATGAACAGACAGAGAAGGTCAGAAGAGGGGCAAGGAAAGACCAGCAGGGCCATGGACAGATGAATGGGCATATAGAAGGGCAAAAACATGCATGGATGGACATAAGGACAGAAGGGGCATGTGAATGAACGGATGGGGCACAAAGGTGCGCAGATGGGCAGATGGGGCACACAGAGGGACAGACTGGCATAGAGACAGATGGGGTCCAAGGATGGACAAGCAGGGGTGCAGACAGAGAGCTGGGTGCATAGAGGGACAAAACGAATTCATGGATGGACAGAAAGACCAACAAACAAGGTATAATGAGGGACAGATGGGATGCAGGGGCAGACAGAAAAACAGAAAAGGCTAATGGATGGACAAACAGACTGCCACATTGATAGGCAGGGAACAAAGATGTACAGACAGGGCACAAGAATGGGAAGACACACAGACATAAATGGCACATGGATGGCTAGGTGAGGGGCACAGACAAACTGCACTCGGATGGGCAGACAAGGGACACCAGGAAACAGACGGGGCAAACGAAGGCAAAGCCCAACAGACAGACTGAGGACGGACTGACAGATCAAGGCAAACAGATGGACAGACAAGAGAAGCAGGGCCCACGGTGGTCAGGTGTGGCACATGGACAGACAAGATCCCAGCTGAGGATGGACTCACTTGCAGGTGCGCTCGCGGCCGCCGGCGCGGCAGTCGAAGTTGTCGTAGAGGCAGGCGGGCGAGCTGCAGGCGGGGTCGCAGCGGCTGTTGTTGAACAAGAGCCAGCACTGCAGCGCCGCGCACTGCCGCCAGGGGTCGCTCACGCTCAGAGAGCAGTCGCCGCCGTCCCAGCCGCAGCCGGGGCTGTTGCACTCGCGGTCGCAGTTCTTGTCGCCGCTCTTGGCCTCGCAGGCGGCTCTCGGGCACGCCGGCTCCTCCGGGACCTCGGGCATCGCCACGGATACCTCGGGCATCGTCGCGGGCACCTCGCAGCGCGGCCCGGCCCAGCCTGGCGCGCAAGCGCAGCGGAAGAAGGGCGCGAGCGGCTCCGGGCGGCAGGAGCCCCCGTGGAGGCAGGGAGAGGTCGCGCAACTAGCGTTGCCGGCCCCGGGGGGCGACCCCCGGGAACCCCGGCAGGAGGGACCCGACAGCCCCGGGGGGCAGACGCAGCGCGGTCCACGGACCGTCTGCTGGCACGGGACACCCATTGGGCACTGCAGCTCCCGGCAGGAGCGTGCCACCCGCTCGCAACGCGGGCCCCAGAACGGCTGTGGGTTGGGTGGGGGGAGAGGAAAAAAAGCGCGGTGGCAGGGGATGGAGGGAGAGAGAGAAGGGGAGGAGAAAGTAGGGAAGGTAAAAGAAATGGAAAGGTGGAGAAGCGGATTGAGGGTTGAAGGGGGAGAGGGAAGGAAATATGGAGGATCAGAACTTGGGAAAGGTTGTGCCTCTGATCGCCCCAGGTCTCGCCCAACCTCTCCTAGCTCCCACTGCCAGCCCCACCTTACAGGTAAGCCCAAGCGTTCCCAAGAGGCCGCAACTCCAAATTACGGAGAGACGCACACACAACCTCCAGGTAATTTCAACATTTCCCAGAAATCTTCCACTTCTTGTCCCCTAAAGCGTCACCCTCCCATGAGGCCACGCCCCCTAACCCCCACCCCACCCGCTTCCAGAGACCCCGCTACCACGGGCCACCCCACCTACCACCTACCGGGATGCAGTGGCAAGAGAAAGTCAGCACACCCCCAGGGCCGGGGCTGGGACGGCACTGGCCTCCATGCTGACAATGCTGAGACTCACAGGGAGACAAGACAGTCTGACAGCGGGGACCTTGGCAAGCAGGAGGATGCGGATCAGCTGCCTGTGGGAAACACAGGCAGGATCCCAGGCCAGCCCCCTCTTTCCGTGCTCACCTGTGAAGCCAGGGTGACACAGGCAGCGGAAGCCCCCACCTGGGTCCTGCAGGCAGTCCCGGGTATGCGCCGCATGGCAGGCACCTGGGCGACACTCATTGATGTCCCCCTCACAGCGCAGGCCAGTGTATCCTGGGAGGCAGGTGCAGCGGAACCCACCCACCAGGTCCACGCAGGTACCATTGTGCAGGCACCGAGGCCCCAGGTCCAGGGCAGGGCCTGGGCCACAGTCATCCTCATTAATCTCGCAGAGCACGCCTGGGGGGTGGGGGATGGGGAACATCAGGAGGGCTCAGAAACCGAGCCTCCCCGCCTGTCCCCCAGCCCTGGTCCTGGCCTACCCAGCGTCCCTGGGGGACAGGAGCAGAGATAGTGGGCCACGAGGTCAATGCAGATGCCCCCATGCTGGCAGGGCTGGGAGGCACACTCGTCTATATCATCCTCACAGCTGTCACCAGTGTAGCCGGCTGGACACTGCAGTGGGGGCGAGACAGGGACCTCCTCAGCCCAGAGGGACACAGATGCTCCCCATGGAGATACAGAGAATCCAGGGCAAAGGGGCACACGTAGTCATCCCACGCACAGAGACATGCTCAGTGAGCAGAAACACACACCCAGTGCATGGAAACACCCAGACACAGAGGGCTACGGATAACACTCAGTGCAAAGAAACACACATACATACAAATGCACAGGCAGTCACACAGGAGAAATACCCAGATACACCCAAGACACACACGGCCAGAGACGCACACTCAGACACTGGCCCATGTGTGCCATTCATACCCATAGAAACACCATGCACAGAGACACATATGTCCAAGAAATAACGAAAGACAGACGCAGAGCCAGACGCAGACACCCTGAGATCTACCCAGAGTGACACCCACAAAAAGACACCCAGAGTACAAAAGCAAAAACCCAGACATGCCTAGAGAGGGACACTGCACCAGGCTCTAGACACACAGAAATGTGTAGCCAGACTCACCCAGGAGTGAGCAGCCCTCCGTCTCCTCCCCTGGGTGCTCCTTACCTCGCACACATAACCGCCCAGGTAGCCTCGGCAGGTGCCCCCATGCTGGCAGGGCTGAGCCAAGCAGGGGTCCATCTCCTGCTCACAGTGGCTGCCGGTGTGGCCCTCTGGGCACACACAGTAGTGGGAGCTGTCCTTGTCCACACACTGCCCACCCGCCTGACACAGCTGCTCCGTGGGCACCCCTGAGCAGAGGACAGCAGCATCAGGCAGACTCCCTCATCCCTGCCCCCATCATACACAGCACACCCAGCATCCCCACTAGCCTTGGTCACCAAGGCGTCACACACATTCCACTGGGTTCCCACACATCCCCTCACACTGACACACACACACACACACACGCACGTGCTTGCACTTTCAAAGCTCACATCAGCTAGGTCACACACGGCATCACAGACATCCCAGTCGTTTCGCAGTGATAGACACACACACCACCGTGTCCTGGCCATATCCACACACACTCACACACCCCACCAAGTTCATAAGCTCTGATGCGCTCTCATTCAGCTCACCCTAGCAGGAAGTATGTGCACACACACCCAATCACGCGCCCCCCCCTCACCGATTTGGGCTGCAGCCTCTCTGCAGGGCAGGCTCCGGATGTCACATAGGCGGCCGCTCCACCCCGGGGGGCAAAGGCAGTAGAAAGAGGACCCTGTCCGGGCACAGCGACCCCCATTCTGACAGGGCGAGCGGCTGCACCAGTCCACCAGCGTCTGTCGAGGAAGGCCGGAGTGTCCACACTCGGGGACCCCTAGAAACCCTGCCCAGCTTCTCCTCCAAGGTCCTGAGCAGGCTCCAGAACGCCTCTCCAGATTTCTCCCCCAGGATCCCTGCCAGGCCCCTCACCGCAATCCCTGTGCCAACTCCTCCCCAGGATCCAGGCTGCCTTCTCAACCAACAAGGTACCCAAACGGCCCCTCCCCAAGAACATCCCTCTAGACTCCTCCCCCACGGCTCCAGTGACCCCGCCCACCTGGCACTGAGTGCCGGTGAAGCCCCCTGGGCAGGCGCAGCGGAAGCCGGGGTGGGCGGCAGTGCAGACGCCCCCGTGCATGCAGGGCCGCGAGAGGCAAGGGTCCGTCTCATGCTGGCAGTGTGCGCCAGTGTAGCCCGCGCGGCACAGGCAGGTGAAGGAGTTCACACCATCCACGCAGGTCCCTCCATTGAAGCAGGAGCTGGAGGGAAAGGCGGGGCGCGTCAGGCCCCGCCCTTCAGAGGCCCTGCCCCGCTCCTGGGTTCCCTCCGGGCGGAAGTGACAAGACCCGTACCCCAAGGAGAAGCTGAGGTCCCCCAAAGGCCCCGCCCTGTCGTGTCCCTTAACACCAGTACCCCAGGTGCTTCAGGGATATGTGGAGGCCCCACCCTGGCCTGGCCTTGCTCCCGCAGGGACCAGGGTACCTAAGGTGACCTCCCAACAGATGTCCTGCCCCTTCCCGGACATGTCCCCATCAGGCATCAGAGTCCTGAAGTGGGTGTCCAGCCGAGGACTCCTTGTCCCCGGCTCCTCGGGTCCCACACCCCATCCGATGCCAGAGTCCCTGCCCCCCAGGAGAGGCCCCACCCACCTGGGACTGCAGTCGGGGAGGTCCTGCTCGCAGCGGAAGCCGCCATAACCGGGCGGGCAGGTGCAGGTGAAGGAGGCCACGTGGTCTGTGCAGGTGCCTGAGCCGCAGGGGCTGCTCAGACACTCGTCCACGTCTCGGGCGCAGCGGGGGCCAGCAAAGCCAGGGAGGCAGGAGCAGGAAAAGGAGCCCACTCCGTCCTGACATGAGCCACCATTCAGGCAGGGGTCTACGGTCAGAAGGGAGGAGGTCTGGTCACGCACCTCACCCCCTGACCTGGCCATGCCTTGCGTAGAGGAAAACTGGGAGAAAACCAGGCTTCATTGGGAGGAGCACACTTAGCCAGGGGAACCAAACCCTGTCCTCTCTGAGGCCTCATCCCTTCCCTTATCTGGTTGAAACCTCCTCTATGTGGAAGGGAGGAAAGGTTTGAGAAGCTCCCAAAAGGTTGCCTGTGTGCATGCTATGTTGCTTCAGACATATCTGAATCTGTTTGACTCTATGGATTATAGCCCGCCAGGCTCCTCTGTCCACGGGATTCTCTGGGCAAGAATACTGGAGTGGGTTGTTATGCCCTCCTTCAGAGGATCACCCCCACCCAGGGATCGAACCCTCATCTCTTATGTCTCCTGCACTGGCAGGTGGGTTCTTTACCACTAGCACCACCTGGGAAATCCCAAGTACTGGTTGTATCTGCTTAATTCCTGAGTTTGGCACAGGAGGTCTCCTCCAGGCCTGGGCTAGCCAGTATGGTGGCCACTGACTACATGTGGCTCTTGAGCACTTGACATGTGGTTGGTCAAATTTGAGATGTACTGTAAGCATAAAATAGACACCAGATAGCAGATCATGACGATTCCATATGAAAAAAGAAAAAAATAATGTAAAATACCTCAATCATTTTATATTGATTACATGTTGAAATGGTAATGTTTTTATGTATTAGGTTAAATAAAATATATTATTAAATTTAATATCACCTGTTGTCGTTTTGTTTGCTTTTTAATGGGGCTATTAGAAAATAATTAATTCAAGGACTTCCCTGGTGGTCCAGAGGTTAAGACTACCTGCTCCCAATCAATGCAGGGGGCCTGGGTTTGATCCCTGGTAAGGGAACAAGAACCCCCATGCTACAACTAAGATCTGGTGCAACGAAATAAATTTTTTTTAATTAATTCAAAAATAAAAAAAGATTTTTAAAAACTCAACTAAAGAAACTTAATTCATATGTGACTTGCATTATTTGTCTATTTAACAGTGCTCCTGGTGACTCACTAAGGGGCCTATTATCTCATACTTTACATACAATTTTAACTTGCTTGTTGACAGAGGCAGGTTACAGGCTTCAGAGTCAAACAGACCTGTGCTCCTATCCTAGCTCATCTCTCTACTCGCTGCACCACCTTGGGCAAGTCACTTCACCTCTGTGGGGCCTCAGTTTTCATGAACAAATGGGGAAAGTAAGACAACTGTGAAGATGAAATGAAAGTACAGTGCTAGGCATACTGTAGCAACTTGATGAACATGTTCCCTAGGTCAGAACCCTCCCCCCAAGAGCTCCCTTAAACTCACTGGGGTCACAGTCATCGATGTCCTGATCACAGGAAGGGCCACTGTAGCCCTCATGGCAGGTGCAGCTGAAACTCCCTGCCAGGTTGGTGCAGGTACCATGGGGACCACAGGGTGAGAGGCTGGCACACTCATCCATATCCTGCTGACATCGTGGGCCTGGGGGTGGGGAGCAAAATAACATCCAGGATTAGCAGATGTAGGGTAGGGTCCGGGAGTACCTGGTGCTCAGGAGGAATCTTAAGACTAACATAGATGAAGGCAAGAAGTTTGCTTCTCGGTGTTTTGCACATACTGTTCCAGCACGCCCCTCTCCTTATTTCAGCTGGTGGAGAATGTGATTCTGTGATTGAGGCCTGCTCCTCCAGGCTTTCCCCAAACTCTCAGCCTGAATTCTAGATTCTCAAGCCCTTATCAAACCAAAACCAGTCACTCCTAAAGGAAATCAACCCTGAATATTCATTGGAAGGACTGAAGCTGAAGCCGAACCTCCAATACTTTGGCCACTTGATGCTAAGAGCCAACTTGCTGGAAAAGACCCTGATGCTGGGAAAGATTGAGGGCAGGAGGAGAAGGGGACAACAGAGGGTGAGATGGGAGGTTGTATGGCATCACTGACTCAATCAACGTGAATTGGAGCAAACTCTGGGAGATGGTGAAGGACAATGAAGCCTGGCGTGCTGCCCTCCATGCGGTCAAAAGAGTCAGACATGACTTAGCAACTAAACAATGAACAACACAGCCCATATCCCTTCCTCTTCTCCTGAACTGACTACACAGGCTGCAAGTGTCTCTGTCTAGCTCTGTTCCTTCCCAGAAGGAAGCTCCCTTAAAAGGCAGAACCAGGGGACTATTCTGCTGGTGCAGTGGCTACGACTCTGTGCTTCCAAAGCAGGAGGCCTGGGTTCAATCCCTGGTCAGGAAACTAGATCCCACATTCTGCAACTAAGACCCAGTACAGTCAAATAAATAATAAGTAAACAATTTACTTTAAAAAAAAATTTTTTTTTTAAAGGCAGAGCCAAGGTGGGGGTTGGGGTACTCCTTCTCTGGGTCCTCAGCATCATCCAGTATGGAGCAAGTTGCAGAGGAAGTGAAGGACAGAAGAAGCAACTGGTGTACCTTGCCAACCAGGGGTGCAGGAGCAGACAGCCAGCTGGCCAGGAGCAGACTCACAGTAGCCCCCATGCTCACAGGGATTCGGGGTGCAGGGGGACAGCAGCTCACACTGATGGCCTGTAGTGGGCAGGCAGAGTGAGATAGTCTTGAGAGATTCCTTGATCCCATCTCCCCACAAGTTCCCCACCTTGATACCCACCTCCCAAGCTCCTGTGTAAGAGTGAGAAAGGAAAAGAAAAAAGGGGCAAATGCAGAGAAGGAAGAGAAAATGAAGCAGAAAGGAAATAAAAAGGAAGAAGGAAGGAAGAGGCCCTGGGGAGGGAAGGTGGAGACACGCACCCTGGATACCAGGGGGACAGGTGCAGCGGAAGCCCATTCCATCACTGGTGCAGGTGCCGCCTGCCCGGCAGGGACGGGATTCACAGGCATCTCGAGTGAGGCTCTGACTGCACTGAGGGCCACTCCAGCCAGGTTCACACACACAGCGGAACCTGGTGAGGGAGGCAGTCAGGGCTGGCAGGAGGGTAGGGAAGCTGCAGGGGTCAGGGAGCTGGGGAGAGACCTCACCCTCCAGGCGCATCGTGGCAGATGCCATGACTGCAGGGTTCCTGGGCGCAAGGATGGCTTGGGGGAAGGCAGAGCGGGGGCAGGGAGCCAGGTGGGCAGAGGCATCGGAAGCCATTTTCACCATCCACGCAGGAGGCTCCCTCGCCGCAGGGGTTGGACGCACACTCGTTGATCTCCACGTTGCAGAGGGGCCCTGGGGAGCAGGCAGGCAACCTCGTCCCAGGACAAGGATAGCGGAGCCAACCAGGGAAGGGCAACCTTGCCCCATTTAGCACAGTCACACCCTTGAGTAAGGACCATCTCATTTGCTTAGTAACACATCAGCTATTGTGCAAATTAGGACAGCCACCTCCGTCCGTAACCCAGAGATATCTCGCCCCAGATTACCCTTGCCCCCAAACTTATATGAAGTCACTTTCATTCTGCCAAGGATTGCCTTGGCCCCACTCAGAAACACCTCAACCTCTGAGTCTGAACACCTTCATGGACATACCAGGATAATCTTGAGCAAACATGGGGACACATGCCAATGAGAGAAAGCAAAATTCTTAGGGCAAAGCATGGACAATCCCTAAGGACAAGCACGTGCAAACAGAGGGGCAAAACCTGGCCAGGAAAAATAGGTGATTTCACCCTCACTCTATAAAGACCCTGTTTCCATGGCAGCCACTTGCCCACCTGTGAATCCAGGCTGGCAGACACAGTCATAGCGGTTGATGCCGTCCCGGCAGACTCCAAAGGTGCAGGGGTTGCTAGCACAATCATCAGTGTTCACTTCACAGTTCACACCTGGGGAAGGGGAACACGACTGGGATTGCCACCACTGTCACCTGCCAGAAACACCATTCCTGAACCCTCTGTGTCCCATCATATGTACTATTCCTGTCCCAGACCAGCCCCTGGCCCCACCTGTGGTGCCAGGAGGGCAGCGGCAGAGGTATTTGTCCACCAGGTCTAGGCATTTGCCTCCGTGTCGGCAGGGCTGGCTTCGGCACTCATCCACCTGGCTTTCACAGCGCATGCCGGTGTAGCCCGGGGCACAGGCGCATGAGAAACTGGCGATGCCGTCCACACAGCGCCCGTGGTGGCAAGGGTCTGGCGAGCAGTCATCCACGTTGCGCTCACACACTGTGCCCTCGAAGCCTGCGGTGGATAGAGGGTCAGGCTCCACCCACTGGCCAAGGTCCTGCCCATAGCCATGGCCTCTGCCCAATCCTAACTCAGCTCTCCCTCAGGCCCGGCCCATTGAGCCAATAGGAGGCAGGCTCAGTTCAGGCTCCGCCCCTGGCTGGCCTCCAGAGGCCATCCAGCGGCAAGCTCCGAGACTTGTCCCTGGCCAGGACCCTACCAGTTAAATCACACCCCTAGCGAGACCCTGCTTCCAATCCTTACACCATCAGCCCTGATTTGCCTCTCCCTCCACTGGAGATGTGGGCACATGGGAGGTTCCTGGGCTTCCCAGGTGGTTCAGTGGGTAAAGAATCCACCTGCAATGCAGGAGAGATGAGTTCGATCCCTGGGTGGGGAAGGTCCCCTGGAGGAGGGCCTGGCAACCCATTCCAGTATTCTTGCCTGTAGAACCCCATGGACAGAGAAGCCTGGTGGGCTACACAGTCCATTGGCTCGCAAAGAATGGACACAACTGAAGTGATGGAGCAGGACAGTACGGGAGGTTCCTGGGGATGGAGGGGTTTGGACGGGGTCCCTCCAATCCAGTGCACATCTATCCTACCAGATCCTTTGGGCCCACCCCCTGGCCTTACCTCTGCTTATGTCCACGATTGGCTCCTCCTCCTGGGTCTTTCATTGGTCCTGCTCCAGGCCTGCCTTGCAGCAGCTCTGTCCCCAACTTTCCCCCAAGCATATTATTGGCCCTTTTCCCCCACTAGCCCCGCCTCCAGATTCCTGCCCTCTTGTCATTAGCCTGCCCTCACCCTCTGCGCAGCGGCACTCGTAGCCATCTGGCTGGTCCACGCACTTGGCTCCGTTCCGGCAGGGTGTGCTGGCACACTCATCCACATCCAGCTGACACATGGCCCCACTGAAGCCTGGAGCGGGGAGTGTGAGATAAACAGAGGGACCCAAGTAGGGCCAGAGCAGACACCCCTCACCAGTGCTGCCTGGTTTGGGTGGAAAGCCCATTTACTTTTAAATTAACTTCATAAGGTGGTATCTGCTATATAGGGACCCACTAACATGATGTTATAAGCTCCCATCCTGGAGTCTTTGCCCCAGAAGGTCTTTCTCAGGCTCCCTGGCCCAGAGTCCTCACCCGAGGGGCACGTGCAGCTGAAGCCATTGACTCTGTCCTTGCAGACCCCACCGTTCACACACGGGCTGCTCTGACACTCATCCATATCCACCTCACAATAGGTGCCGGTGAAACCTGGAGGGGTGGAGGGGGGGAAGGGGTCACAGCAATGAGGGTTTAGCTTCTGGTCTGAAGGGAGAGCAAGGGGGGACATACCCCGCTTCCCCTGAGCCTTGGCCCTGACCCCAACCCATCTCTAGATTCAGTTTTCAGACTCAGGCCAGATCTTCATTCAGCGTGGCCCCAAATGGCCAAATGGCTCAAGGCTTGAGACTCCATGTGGGCATGTCTTCAGACCACCTCCTTCTTTCTTCAAATTATGCCTCTTCCCCAGCTCCCAGCCAAGGGTCCACCATAGCCTTGTGCCCAGCCTCAGTCTCACCCCAGCATCAGTGCATCTCTGTCCAGTCTCCATTGTGACCCCTACTCCAGATCCTGGTCCTGCCCTCATGTCATTCCCATCCCACAATGCGTCCAGACTCCACTCCCAGCCCATGTGCGGTTCTCCTGACTCCACCGGACCACGCCCCCAGACTCTGCTCTGGCTCTGCCTCCCCCTCATCCCAGGCTTCAGTCTCTCACCCTTCCAGTTCTGTCTGCTCTGGGCCCCTCTGCCTGAAGGCTTTTCTCACCCCACCTCCCAGCCTCAGGCCCCGCCCCAGCCACGCCCACCACACACCTGCCATGCAGATGCAGGTAAACTGGCCTATGCGGTCCAGACACGTGGCCTGGTTGCGGCAGGGTCCTGACAGGCATTCATTGACATCAGTCTCACAGCGCGGGCCAGTGTAGCCACGGCCGCACTGGCACAGGAATGAGCCCTGTGTGTTCACACACCGGCCCAGGTGCTCACAAGGGTTGGCACCTGCAAGGTGGGATCACAGTGTGGGTGTGGGAAGCTGAGGAGCAGCCTCTCCCCTCCTTCCCTACCCTCAGACTGCACCCCCTCACCAATGGAACACTCGTCCACGTCCTGGTCGCAAGCTCCGCCTGTGAAACCCGGTGGACAGGTGCAGATGGCCCGGCCATTCACTGGGTTCGTGTCACAGATAGCATCCTCGTGACAGGGGTTGCTGACACAAGCATCGTCCAGATGACACAAAAGTCCTGGGGAAGAGTAAGTGGAAGTCAAGGGCAGACCATCCCCCAGATCTGCCCAAAGGTCCCACATCCCTGAACATTGTAGTGTTTTGTTTTTTCATTTATTAACCAGCAGTGTATTTAGTGGGCTTCCCAAGTGGCACTAGTGGTAAAGAATCTGCCTGCCGATGCAGGAGACATAAGAGATGCAGGTTCAATCCCTGGGTTGGGAAGATTCCCTGGAGGATGACATGGCAACCCACTCCAGTATTCTCTCCTGGAGAATCCCATGGACAGAGGAGCCTGGCAGGGCTGCAGTTCATAAGCAACTTAGCATGCACATACATATTTAGTAGCTATTCTTCCCCAATCATTTATTTAAAATTTAAACATACAGAAAAGTTTATTCATATACCCATCACCTAGATTCAACTATTATAATTTTATTTTTTCTGAACCATTTGAAAATAAGTTGGAAATATCCACATATTGTTTTTAAAATCCATTGACTCTTTTTATGATTCTAAGAGGGTCCTAGCATTAAGTCTTTGCCTCTGCAGTACCCTCTGCCTGACATACCCTGCCCTCCGCTCCAAGTTACCCTAGCAAACATCTTCTCTGACCTTTGCCACTCCCAAAAGTCCCCTCTCCTTCTGAGTCATAGTTTAGCTCTCCATTCCGGTGACTTCTTCCCTGGATTGTCTGCCCTCCCAGGCCTCTCCCAGGCTTATCCTTCACCCCAAACCCAGCTTCTAGCATAAGCATTAAGCATCAGCTTAATTAATTAAGAACAATATGTTTAATTATGCTTCTAGCATAGCATAAGTCTGACTCAAGTCAGACTCCATCCTTGGCCCCACTCAAGAGCCATCAATGGCTCCCTGCTGCCTTCAGGGAAAAAAACAGTCACTCACCAGTTTTGCCCATGGGGCAGGCACAGTAAAAAGAGGCCACACGGTCGTGGCAAGTGGCCCCGTGGAAGCACACAGCCGTGGCACAGTCATCAATATTCTGACTGCAGCTCTCACCCGTCCAGCCATTGACACACACACAACTGTGGCCACCCAGTGTGTTGAAGCAGGTGCCCCCGTTGTGGCAAGCGTTGGGCTGCAGCTGACACTCGTCCACGTCCTCTGTACAGAACTGGCCTGTGGCACACAGATGCATCAGTCCGCTTACCTGGCACGTGCCCGTACAGGGGCCCCCCTCAGGTCCCACCGCTCACCTGTCCACTCAGGAGGGCACTGGCAGTTGTAGGTGTTGACACCATCCACGCACGTCCCCCCGTTTAGACACCGGTGCCCTGGACAGTCGTCCACATTCACTTCACAGTTCTGGCCCTCAAACCCTAGCGTGGAGCGCAAGGATGGTCACCGCCAGGCGGGCCGGCTGTCCCGCCGCCTCTGCTGCCTCCCCCGGGTACAGCTCCCTCACCAGGAAGGCAGGCACAGTCGTAGGTGAGGTCGCCGCTCTGCCTGCAGGTGCCCCCGTTGCGGCACAGGGAGGGAGCGCAGGGCGCCGCGGCGCTCTCACACAGGGGCCCCGTGTAGCCACCTGGGCACTGGCAGCGGAAGGAGCCGGGCGTGTTGAGGCAGGTGCCACCGTGGCGGCAGGGCGCGCCCACCCGGCACTCGTCCACGTCGCTCCGGCAGCTGCGGCCCTGGAAGCCGGGTGGGCAGGAGCACAGGTAGCGGCCGTCGGAGCCCACGGAGCAGCGGGCACCATGGGCACAAGGGCTGCTGAGGCAGGGGTCTGGCAGGGAGCAGTCGGGGCCTGCCAGGAACCAGGAAGGGTGAGCCCAGGCCGATCACACCCTTGCCTGCCTTCAGCTCCCTTCCAGACCCCCCTTTACCTCGGAAGCCCCGGGGACAGCGGCAGGTGAACCGGGCGGTCCCCGCCACCACTGAGCTCTGGCAGACACCACGGCCAGCACAGGGGCCGGAATGGCAGGGGTCTTCCAGCTGACACCGTTCACCCACCCAGCCTGGTGGGCACCTGCGGACAGACACGACCTGGTGGGGAAAGTCAGGGCAGAACAGCACAAGAGAGACACACCAGACAGACCAGAAGCACACAGGTAAACAAACACACACACTCATTCATCCACGCAAGTTTCCCTGAGCACACCTACTAGGTTCTTAGCAATGGGAATACAGCATGTGTGCTAAGTCACTTCCATCATGGCCAACTCTTTGCAACCCCATGGACTGGCTGGCTCCTCCATCTCTGGGATTCTCCAGGCAAGAATACTGGAGTGGGTCGCCATGTCCTCCTCCAAGGGATCTTCCCAACCCAGAAATTGAACCTGCATATCTCTTAAGTCTCCTGTATCGGCAAGTGGGTTCTTTACCACTAGTGCCATCTGAGAAGCCCAGGAATACAGCAGCAAACACAATTAAAGTGGTCCCTACCCTTTTGATGTTCATAGCCGGGTCTGGCAAAGAGAAGATATACAAATAATGAATGAATAAGCAACATGCACGCGGTGGGGGGGGGGGGGGGCGGGTGGCAGCGGCGGGTAGTTCAGGCCATGGGGATCATGAAGGATGCAGTTGGGCAGAGTGGTGGCCCCAGAAAAATTATGTCCATGACCAAGAACCTGTGACTGTGACCTTATTTGGAAAAAGAAATGTAATTAATGATGTAATTAAATGAAGGATGTCTAGATGAGACCATCCTGATTATCCAAGCTGGCCCTAAGCTGAGTGACAACTGTCCTTACAAGAGAAAGGCAAAGACTTCTGGCCTCCAAAACTGCGAGAATAAATTTCTGTTATTTTAAACCACCCAAGTTTGTGGTCATTTGTTCCACAGCCACAAGAAACTAAAAACACAGGATAAGGAGGACAGAGGGATGGGGGTGGGGGAAAGGCAACTATGTTTTCACAGACAAAGTGAAGGAAAAAAGAAGACTGTGTGGGAGAAGAAAGTGAGGGAGGGGGCCACGGGCCTGTGTGGGGAAGACTAGAGGAAATGGCAAATGCAAAAGGTCTCGGGTTCCAGAAGACAACCACCCAGGCGCACACAGATGGGCAGAACCCCCAAAGGTATCAGACGAGAGGGACACACTAACACGATGCGCTGGGCTGGGAAATACTCAAGACCCCAACCCACAGCCTCATTCACCAGTACGGGCTAACTTTCACATGCCAGACAAGAGGACCTCCACAAAGCTTCAGTTCCTTTCCTGGGGCACAGAGACCCCTTCCTCCCGTTGCGGGGAGGAGGTGGCCACCAATGCTGGCGCCCCCTGTTGGGAGAAGGTCCTTCAGCCTCCAGCCCCCTCCAAACGCACCAAGGCCACCTTGAGGGTGAGGGTACAGACGCGCACTGGTCTTAAGGCTAGAAACCTCCAGAGTGGGGTCAGAGGGCGGGACTTGGACCGGCCCTCGACGCTACCCGCCCCTCGCCTGGGTTTCTCCCTGTGGCCTGTCCCGGTCGCTCGGGGCTAAACTTAAGTAGCTGACTCAGTCCTTAGCGTCACCCACAAGATTCCCCCCACCCCAGCCCCCAGCGAAACAAGTCGGGGCACGAGCGGGCGCAGAGGGAGAACCCAGTTCCCAAGCCCCCTCCCCAAAGATCCGCAGGGCAGGGACCGCCGCCAAGACTGCGCGCCGGGAGGGGGCGTGCTGCGCCGGGAGCCGAGCACTGCGAATTCTTCCTCCCCCAACCACGCGCGCGCGCACGGCAGGCAGGGCGTGGCCGCGCGGCCCGCTCCCGGCGCCCCCGGCGGGTTCCCACGCTCTGTGCCCCGCGCCCCTGCCGACCGGTCGGGCTGGTTCTCCGCGGCCCGCGCCCCGCCCAATCGCCTGGGCTTCACCGGAGACCGATGGGGGCGGGAGAGTGGAGGGGGGGGCGGGAGAGTGGGGGGGGCGGGGGCGGGGAGCATGGACTCGGTAGGGGGACTGGCTGGGGAAGAGGTGATGACTACGAGATAGACACTAGGGTTTGAGAGACTTTGAGAGTTGGAGGATCCATGGAGGGGCGACAGACTGCGGGATCCGCGAAAGGAATTTGAAGGAGACTAGGGATGAGGGGATACGTGGGGAGAGGTTCCCACGGACCACCTCAGGAGACTAAGCCCGGCGCTCCGCTCCGGGTGATCCGGGCTCCGGGCGGCCGCGCGGGCCGGTGATTCACCTGTCGGGGGGGCGGGGCAGCCGGGGGCGTATACACCTGTCGGCAGCTTTCCAGGCGCGGGGTCCCAGAGCGCAGGCGCCTGGTCCCGCGACTCCGCCTCCCAAGTGAGAAGCGCCAGGTGAGGTCACACTTTCCCCCCAATTCCCACCATCCCAACCCGAGGAACCCGCTCTACCAGGCTGAGACCACCCCCCCCCGCATCGAGGTGAGTCAACGTGCGTGTGCAACTTCAAAGGGTCTCTGAAGTCACCCCAGACCCACCCAGCTTGGGCTGGACACACAAGTTGCTGAATAAATGGGTGCATTTAATGAATCGACCAATGGCTACTGGGTGACCTGCTATTATTAATGATGATATTATAAAAGGAACCAAGCATTTTCCCATAACCTCAGAGGTTCCTCCTTATGGCACCTATTTTCCAAGTCTCTACCATTAATAAAAAATACCATTTATTAAGCACTTACTGTATGCCCAACACTATGCTGATTTCACTCTTAATCTTTACAATCAACTCCATAAAGGAGGGAACTGTTATTGACCCATTTTCCGGATGCAAAAATGAGGCTCAGAGAGCTCAAAGCACTTGCTCAAGGTTATCCCAGAGCCCAGAATTCAAATTGATCTCTGTCTGCCTCTGCTCAGCAATTTCCCAGGCCCTGCCCTGCTTTCCCAACCCTCTGCCTTTCCTTGTACTTTCCAACAACTGCATTTGGGGGGGGGACTTTGGTCACAAATCAGGCAGAAGGACCATATTTTACAGATCAATGAGGTTCAGAGAGGGGAAGTGACTCACTCAAGGTCACACAGAAAGTAAGTGGCAGAGCAGGGCTCCTGTGTTCCCACCACTAAATCATGAGATGTGGGAAGGTACAGATGCTATCCCTACTGCTAAACCACTGTTACTAGTTCCTGAAAATCTGTTGATTGAATAACTATCTGTCCATCAGGGGATTTACACAAGACCACAGGCAGCAGAGAATTCGGTGTAGTTGGCATTAGCAGGCCCATTTTCCAGACTAGGACACTGAGGATTAAAAAGTCAGGCCATCAGCAACATGATGTGGGATTTGAACCCCAGCCAGGCAGACTCCAGAGCCTCTACTCCTAGCTCTGCTCCCTCTAATGGGGAAACAAGAGGTTGCCCAAGCCACACACTTGAAGGAAGTGGTGGAAGCATCTATGGTGAACAGAGGCAGGGGGAGAAGACAGACCACCTCCCCACACAGGGCCCACTGATGGCTCAGAGCCAGGCACTCACAGGCAGGCAGCCTCCCGGGAGGGCAGCTGGGTGCAGCGACCTCCGTTCACACACGGGCTTCCGTCCAGGCAGGGGGATGCTGGGTGGGGGTGAAGGAAGATGGGGGTGTCAGGCAGGCGCCCAGGAACCCCAGCCTGGATTGAGACTCCGTCCTTTCCTCCCTTGGGCAACAGCTGCACCAGGCTGGGGGCGTCTCTGCGAGGGCAGAGAGCCCCCCCATTCACAGTTCCCACGGCCCCCCGCCCCGGCCCCAGCTGTTGGGGCTGCAGCTGTCACTGCCAACTCGGGCCCTGGGAACCACAAGGCAGGGGCAAGCAGGAGGAGGGGCCGACTTGTGCCAGATGTGGGGGCTCAGAAGCTGCCAGAATGGGGGGCAGGAAGTGGGGGTGCTGCGAGGGTTGAAGGGAGGTCTGGGACTGTGTGCCCAGATCCTGGGGTTGTGGAGGGGGCAGGGGTGGGGAGTCCTGGGGCCCTGGGCTTCCTTCTGCTGATGTTGGGCATCTACTCCAACTGGGCAGGCCTGCATGCTAGTTCTGGGGAGAGATGCCAGGGCATGAACGAACGCCGTGCGCAGCCAGCAACTGGGCGTTACAGGGATGGGGTCTGTGTTGAGGGAGGGGCAGCTGGCACAGGCTGACCTCTCCAGCATCCTCACCCCTAAGGGCTGTGTCTCTCTGCGGTGTGGCACAGTCTAACTGTCCTGTTGGATGGGTCAGGGCTGTGGCGGGATGTGAGTTAGTGGGGCACTGTGTGAGCCAGCAAGTGTGGGGCCGCTTGTGCATGTGTGCCTGTGTGTACAAGAGGAGACAGAAAAAGGGAGAGGAAGAAGATGAGAAAAACAGACAGACATAAAAGAAGGAAACTAGAAGGAGGCAGACACAGAGAGGAGATCAAGAAAGACAGAGACAAGAGTTTAAAAAAAGAAGAGAGACCGAGATATACTGGACATGCGAGTGCATTAAACATGGCTTCTGTCCCTTCCGCAAGGCACAAGCAGCCAGGACACTATCACCCAGACAGGAGCCCAGGGCTGTTTGTGAACTCACGCTGGGGGCCACATGACATGAGCCGTGGGCCCTGTGGGCCATGTGTGTGTCTGCATGGCCTGCATGGATGTAGAGATGTTTGTAGGCTGAAACTTGTTGTGTGTCCATGTATGTGAACTACGTATCTGGGTATATAGCCGTTGCGTCTGTGTGTGACTTGTATGTGCATGGGTGTGTCTGGGTGTGGGTTGGATGTGCTTGTATACCTGCATGTGTCAGCTGGGTGTAGGCATGTCCTTGCCTCTGTCTATATGCATCTAAGTGTGTGCAGACAGTGAGTGTGAGGCCTTGGGCTGGTGGTGCAGGGTAGGTGTGAACATGTGTGATCGTATGAGCATGTGTGAGCTGTGAATGTGTCTTGTGTGAGCTGGGTGTGCACATGTGCGGGTGTACTCTGTGTGTGTGCACGCACATACACATCTGCATCTCCACATGTGTGACCCAAGAATGTGTGTCCTGTGAGTGTGTGACAGGCCATGTGGGGGCGGCTGCTCCTGCCCACTCCTGCCCCATCTGCCCGCCCGGGGCTGGGCTGGCTGGGTAGGCCTGTTTCCTCCCTACCCCTCCCCGGGCTGAGCCCCACAGCAGCGTCCAGAGACCCAGGGCCAGGGCCACTGGGCTCGCGTCCCTCCCCTGCCGGCCAGGCCTCCCTTGGCTGGGGGTGCGCCCCAGCAGCCCCGGTCCGGCCCCGCTGCCGTCCCCGCTTTGTCTGGCAAAGAAAGCGCGAGGCTGCCGGGGGGGAGGGGGTGTCTAGACGGCGTGGCCATTGTCCCAGGCGGGGGAGGGGAAGAGTGGGGAGGGGGAGGGGCGGGGGGCTCCCCGGGCCCGCTGGGGAGGGGGTCGGGCTGCTGGGAGGGGGCGCTGGAGCGGGAGAGGAGCACGTGGGCTCGCGCCCCCTGCCCTCCCCTCCCTTCCCCAGGCAGGGACAGGGTCCCGGGACGCCGTCCTGTCCAAGCAGCCGAGGGAGGGAGCGGGGCCGCGGGCGGGGGAAGGGGCGCGGGCGCCTCTATGGCTCCAGCTCTGGCTCCGGTTCCGGGTCTTGCCGCGCTCCGGCCTGGGAAGTTTTCTCCGAGTTTAGAGCTCCGAGAACTTCGCGCCCCCTCCGGCCCCCCGCCCTGCCAGACCTGCCCCGGCTGTGTGCATGAGGAGGGGGAGCTTTTATGCGAGGGGTCCCCGACCTGGGGTACTTGGGTTCCAATCGTGACCTTCCCAGGGCTCTCGACAGGCATGGTTGGTGAGAGAGCCCCAGATTCTTGGCAACCGCCCCCACTCCCCCGCTAATCTTGATCCGCTCACCTCCAGCTCCCAGTCCCGGGCTCCAGGGTCCCTTCATTCCCAGCCCACATCTCTCCCGGGCCCCGGTTCCTGCGGTCTCTGGGGTCCTGCCTCGCCCCCACTCTCAATTCGGAGTCCCTGCCCCCGGCTCCTGCTCTCGCTGCCCCTGCGCTCTGGTCCCTGATTCCCAGGGACCGCCCCCACACCCACCAAGTCCCAGACTCGGGGAGGCCTTGCACTCCATTCTTCCCCTTCCCCCACCCACTCACCCCATCCCGCCCTCAGGGTCCCGGCCCCTCACCTGCAGCCCCCGGCCCCGCTAGCAGCAGCAATAAGGGCAGCGTCCGCACGGACGGCAGGGGTGGCGGCGGAGACATCGGGCGACGGCGGCGGGGGCGGCGGCCCCGGGGCCCCGGCCCCATGGCGGCCGGCCGCGACCCTCCCTCCTCCCACCTCTCTCCTCCCTTCTCCCTCCTTCCTTGGGCTCCGGGCGCGTCCGGGGCCAGCCTCCGCGCAGCCAACTTCGCTGAAGTGAGACGGCCGGGCCGCCCCGCCCCCAACCCTGGGCGGCTCGCCCCGCCCCAGGGCCGGCCCAGAGCTCCCCCGCCCCCGGCCCGGCCTCCTGGGGTCCCTGCCCACCCTCCACCCACACAGCCTGGGACCCGAAGACCCTCTCAGAAACTCAGGCCAGCCGGCCCAACCCACGGTGTCAGACACACCCAACTTCCTGAACATCTCCAGCTCCCCGAAACACATCCAGAGCCCGAGACACACACGGAGCTGGGCACAAACAGACACTCCCCTACCCCCACCCCCCGACACCCCGAAACTGAAACCAGGCACGTTCTGCAAGGCTCATGAATACATAGCCAGGATGCACAAATGCAGAGGCGTGCACAGAGCTTCCTGGGGGACTTAAAATCTGAAATATTCACAACTCTAAACTCAGGCCCTCTCAGACCTCTCAGACCTAGAGCCTTGGGCGATTTTTGCAGCCTCGGACCTCAGGCACAGGCCAGTAGTTTCAAGTGTGCTACCAAACACTCACACCCCGTCTTACTCTCAGCGCTTCCTGAAAGTAACCCCTTCCTCCTCAATATCCAAAGGTCCACCCCACCCCATAGCCTACACAGCTTCGCTGCTCAGCCAATCTTGCTCAGTTTCATCCAACTGCCTTTTCCAAAATCAGTCATGCTGAAAAACCACCACCCTGCAGTGAGCTCTGTCCCTGTGGCAAGAATGGGGACTCCGGAAAGGCCCCAAGACCAGCCTAGAGAAGCCCCCAATCTGGGGAAGAAAAAAACAGACTCCAGCACTGTGGACTTAGGGTTGGGCCAGAGGGAGAGACAGAGCAGAGAAACTGGTGAGGGTTCTGCTTGGGGGAAGGGGGTTACTTATTCATTCATTCATTTATTCAACAAGTAGGTATAAAGCTCAGGCTCTATGTCTCCTGTTGTTTGAGCAGCTTCACCTCCCTGCCCTCTCCCAGAGAGAGCTTCCTTGAGAAGGGTTCAGCGGGGGCTCTGCCCAGAACTGGAAGAAAGACATTTCAGGAGAGGGACAGGTCTGCAAACAGAGGAGGGGGCCGAGTCACGTAGGGAAGGAGGGGAGAGTGGGCAGGTCAGGGGTCGCCCTGGCCCTGAGGAGGAGGAGAAAGAGGCCAGGTCGACCTTGTAGGTGTTTAGCGCGGTGATGAGGCTATAGTGAGGAGGAATGGGTTGGGGGTGATGCGCTGAAACCCAGGAGTCTGAGGTTCACCCATGAGACAGCTGAGCAATGAGGCTAAGCACGGGGACATCAGGGTGGGATGGGCAACCTGGGCACCCCAGAGATCTTTGAACAATTTTTAAACTTCATTTAGAAATAATTTAAAATGCAATTTCCATAGACCCTTTACCCAGCTTCACCAACTCGGCACACACTTTGCCAAATTTACTTTATAATTATTGTTATTGTTCAGTTACTAAGTCATGTCCGACTCTTTGCGACCCCCTGGAGTGCAGCACGACAGGCTCCCCTGTCCTTCACTGTCTCCTGGAGTTTGCTTAGACTCATGTCCATTGAGTCTGCGATGCCATCCAACCATCTCATCCTCTGTCACTCCCTTCTCCTTCTGCAAACTTCAGTCTTTCCCAGCATCAGGGTCTTTTCCAAAGTATTGAAAAAGAGTTGGCTCTTCGCGTCAGGTGGCCAAAGTATTGGAGCTTCAGCATCCCAGCATCTATCCTTCCAATGAATATTCAGGGTTGATTTCCTTTAGGATTGACTGGTTTGATCTCCTTGCTGTCCAAGGGACTCTCAAGAATCTTCTCCAGCACCAAAATTGGAAAGCAGTGCTCAGCCTTCTTTATGGTCCAACTCTCACATCTGTACATGACTACTGGAAAAACCATAGTTTTGAAGAAATTATATATAATTTTAACTTATATATAATATGTAATATATAATAGATGTATTTGAGAGCAGGGCTTCCCAGATGGGTGGTAAAGAACCCATCTGCCAAGTGCAGGAGACATAAGAGATGCAGTTTCATCCCTGGGTCAGGAAGATCCCCTGGACAAGGGCATAGCAACCCACTCCAGTCTTCTTGCCTGGAGAATCCCATGGACAGAGGAGCCTGGTGGGCTACAGTCCATGGGGTCACAAAGTGTCAGACACAACTGAAGCGACTTAGCATGCACACGTATTTGAAAGCAAGATGTAGATATGATGTTCTTTTGCCCCCAAAATCATCACTGTATGTTTCCTAAGATTGAGGGCATTCTCTTATACATACATACACAACAGTTTTCACCATACGGACAGTTTTTGGTTTCCCCAATAATATCCTCTATAGCATGTTTCTTTGCTGGTCCAGGATCTAATCTCTGACCATGTGTTCCATTTAATGGTTATGTTTCTTCATGTCCTTTAATCTGTATCAGTTCCTTAGCCTTTCTTTGTCTGTTATGATGCTGATATTTTTGGATAGTTAAGGTCATTTGTTTCACAGAACATCCCTTAGTGAACTGGGCTGCAGTTTCCTCGTGACCAGGTACAGGCTCTGTGTCTTTGGCAAGAACTGCGGAAGCAATGCAGGTACTCTTCCATGGGTTGTATCAAGGAGGTACCTGATATGGGTCCCCAACACTGGTCTTGTTAGATTTTGATCACTTGAATGAAGCTGGTCCAGTTTCTCTACTGTAAATGTACCACTCTCTTCCCATCCCCTCTTGTAATGAGTAAATATCAATATCATGTGGGGAGATATATTATCAATATCATGTGGGGAGATATATTGAGACTGTGTGACTATCCTGATGCCTGTCAAACTTTCACCACTGTTTGGGGCATTTATTGGTGATTGCCTCTGATGATTTTTTAAAAATTGAGATACAATTTCCTTACATAAAATTATTACCATTTTAAAGTGTACAGTTCAGTGGCATTTAGTGCAACCACCACCTCTACCTAGTCTTATCACGCTTTCATCAATCCTAAAGAAAACTTTGTCCCCAGCCATCACTCCTTATCTGTCCCTGGCAGCCATTAATGTGTTTCCGTCTCCATGGATTTACCTTGTTCTGGAGGTTTCACATCTATGGAATCAAACAATGTGTGGTCTTTTATGTCTGACTTTTTTCACTGGGTGTGTTTTAGAGGTTCATCCATATTGTAGCATGTGTCAGTTCTTCATTCCTTTTTATGGCTGAGTAACATCCCGTTGGAGAGATAAGAAATGCGGTTTCCATCCCTGGGTTGGGAAGACCCCCTGGAGAAAGGAAAGGCAACCCACTCCAGTATTCTTGCCTGGAGAGTCCCATGGACGGAGGAGCCTGGTGGGCGATGGTCCGAAGGGTTGAGAAGAGTCGGACACGACTGAAGCGACTTAGCGCGCAGGCACAACACCCCATTGAATGGCTACACCACGTTTTACTGGACCATTCATCTGTTTACCTGGGATGATTTTTATAATTACTTATTTTTGGCTGCGCTGAGTTTTCATTGCTGCGTGAGGGCTCTCTCTAGTTGTAGCAAGCGGGGGCTACTCTTCGTTGCGGTGTGCACGCTTCTCCTTGTGGTGGCTTCTCTTGTTGCAGAGCATGACCTCTAGGTGCCTGGACTTCAGTAATTGCAGCACATGGGCTCAGTAGTTGCAGCTCTTGGGCCTAGTTGCTCCGTGGCATGTGGAATTTTCCCAGGCCAGGGATCAAATGTATGTCCCCTGCCTTGGCAGGTGGGTTCCTATCCACTGTACCACTGTGGAAGTCCCCTTGGATGATATTAAAATACTGGAAGAGGAAGAGGTGGTGGAGGCAGAGAAGTACCATTAGAGAGAAAGAATGAAAAGCCAGGGGTGAAAGTTGAACAACAGACAAGGGTCCAACACAGGAGATGATCCCCAGCCCTGCTGAGGGTGGCAGAGAGTCAACCACCAGGGGACAGGAACTGAGGGTGTCCCAGCCTCTCAACTTATGAGTGCAACCTCCATCTGGGAGGAGAGCTATTCACACATCTTACGGGGTCAGCCCTCATGGGGATGGGTCTCTGCCCATCTTATGATGATTTGCTGGAGGCTTCCTAGAGGAAGAGCTGAGATTTGAACCCAGTGACTCCAGGCCACATGGAATGAGAGGGAGGGGTTGGGAGTGGGGGTGGGGGCTGGGCAGAGAAAAAGACAAAAGTTGCATAATCAGAAGGGGCACAGCTGACTCACCTTGAGGGTGCTGAGTCAAGGGGCCCATGGGGATGGGGGAAGGCGCAGCTTAAGTCCTTCTCATACTCGTCACCCCAGGAGGAAATCCCGGCCCCTCAGCCCTGCTTTCAGAGCCTTCAGATGCTCCTCAGCCCCTCCTGTTCCCTTCATCATCACACTGAGTCACCCAGCAGGCTCTGCACTCTCACGGCCTCTGCTCAGGTTCTTCTTTCTGCCTGGGACATCCGGCTAGTTAGAAGGACCCTTTTGCTTCCTCCCCACACAGGAACTCACAGCAGACGTGTTTTTTTAAAAATGCATTTCCTGGGGCTTCCCTGGTGGTCCAGTGGTTAAGAATCTGCCTTGCAATTCAGGGGACACCAGTTTGATCTCTGGTCCCGGAAGATTCTACATGCCACAGGGCAGCTAAGCCCATGTGCCGCAACTATTAAAGCTCTAGAGTCTGTGCTCGGAAACAAGAGAAGTCACCACAATGAGAAGTCCGTGCATCATGATGGAGTAGTTCCCACTCGCTGCAACCACAGGAAGCCAGGACACAGTGATGAAGACCCAGCACAGCCAAAAATAAAGATAAATAAATGTATTTCCTAGGAGTTCGCTGGTGGCCTAGGGCTTAGGATCCTAGACTTTCACTTCTGTGGCCCTGGGTTCAGTCCCTGGTTAAGGAACTGAGATCCTACAAGCTGCACGGTGCAGCCAAAGTACATAAATAAATAAAATTTTTTA